ATAACAAAATAAATCTATTGTAAGACATGCCTATCTTATGGAGTAATGGGTGATAATATATTTCGTCCATTTTCCAATATGACTCCATTGTTGGAAACTTTATCAATCCAGTCAGTATTATCACTCCAATAAATTTGAGCATCTCGGAGTCATCAACTTCCTTCCAACGATTAATTCGAGCAGATGGGAGATCAGTTGATTCTTTCATACGAGAACCATACATATTCGTATAATGTACTATCAATCTCAGTACCTCGTCATTTATAATGTGCCGGAAAATCTTAAAAATTTTTATGTCACCATCAAATGATCTTGAGTGTCGTGTAGGCTCTACATGACCCGTAAAAAGTTTCCTTGTTAAATTAGAAACATTTGACTGCCATGCAAATGGACTTACAGATCGATTGCGTGCACGTCTTCGTACCTGTTCTCGTTGAAGACTGCGGCTACGTCGATTTGTAGAATAACTGTTTTGAATTTCATGGTGAATGGCTTCAATACTTTCTGCTATGTCATTCATTTCCAAAAAACAAGCTGCATCCTCATTTTCCTCGTCAGAATCCAACAAATCGTCTTCAAAATCAGAATCTTCTAATATCCTTCTTAACCGTTCAACCATTTTTAGTTCGTGAAGTGAACAAATTTGGAAAAATAAACAAAAGAATTACCTACTTTGACTGTTACCTGACGTACCTAAGACTCACTTCAAAATCAAAGAATAACAAGGAGTATGTATATCAATACATTTTCCTCTATATTACGTGGCCAGAGTCCTAAGTGCGGCTCTTGAAAGTTTTGATTTTTTCATGATAATAGAAGATATGGTTTACTTCCTATTGCGCTCAATAGGTATGTTGAAGTGCTCAGATAACATTTTGACGTAAGTACTTCGACTTGTATAGAGAATAATATGCGGGACGTACGAGGAAATCCAAACATTTTGTATGGGGACTGTGAACGTGTTAACTTAAAATATATTAGCATTAAGACCGAGATTCATAAAACGAATCTTCGTATATTTAAAAAACCAACTTTGACTAAGTTTAAGCAAGAAATTAAATTAAACTTTGAGTTTATTTCGTGATTTCTTGCTTAAACTTAGGCCAAAGTTCGTTTGTAAATACAAAAAAAATTCTATATTCTAATAGCTCATCTTTTTGTTTGGTCAAAGTTCGATTTATAAATCTCAGCCTTAGATATTTCTTGGGTTTATAATTGCGTTGTCAACAGTATATGTCTGAAATGAAACTATTTTTTTTTCTCTAAACCGTGTATAATTTTTCAAACAAACTTACGCTTTATTTCCTACAATCTAGAATACTATAGTCTGTCTTTTTTAAGACCATAGTAAAATGGCATTTGCGGGGTTGCCAGTTGTCACATACTTCTAAATAGTCATGTCACCAGTTTTATCGATAGATTGTAAAAAAGGTAAAATTTTGCCGAAAATGTCTGAATTGTGAATGTTACGATGTTCCAATGATTACTAATTACGTTATTATTTCTCAAACAAAACTTTCAGCCATTTTTGAGGGGCGGGAGGGTACTACTACAATCAAATAGGTGTCTCACATAAACAAAATTCGGCGACACTAGCTTACTTTTAGGAATACACAGATAAAACACGCATTCATACCATGTCCGTATACAGAATACGCCTATTAAAAAAATAGATTCCAATGGATTTGCTAGAGACGGGACGTTATCGATGATTTAATATATAATAAAATATTTAACAGGTAATTTGTGTATAGTATCATTTCGTAACGAGTGTGAATGTTTCATCTAAATAATATACAGGTGTTATATAAATAAAAAAATTAATTATAGTGTTGCACGTCATATGTTAGATATGATTCTTGCTAAACAAAATAAGATTTATTCATTTCACACTTAATGATTTTATCGATATCGACATTATTGACAATTCGCATAGCATAGCAGATAGTCCATTGGGGATTCCCGTTTTTATTTCTTGTACTTGTACTCACGAGGAGTACGTTTACGTCACGATTTGACGTTTGTTAATTAAAAACTCTTAAGGTGTGGTTAGTAATGTCTATGTTTTAGCGAAGAATAATTATAATTATTAACTTTTAAATCGATAACTGAATATTTGAAAGGCGTTCGAATAACTCGAAATATTTTAAATGTAATCGACAAAATTGAATCAATGTGATCATCGTGGAAAAAATATGTTAAAATAGTAAAGTAGCAATTAATACAAAAAATACTTATATCTTTAAGGAACGTAATTCCATGCTTGTCTAGACTGGATGCAGCATTTTTTTTGCAAGTTTGTGAGGTGCAAGACGATATATTTCGTGTAGCACTTGGCGCAGTGATATCGATAATAAAAATGAAAAAAAAACAAAAAGATCCAAAAGTAGTTTTTTGCTTGTACCTTGACAAAGGGGAGTACCGGCGCCGCCTCCAGTGTTGTATTAAGAACGGCGGATTTGATTATCTAACCTCTACAGGGTGTAAATTTGAGACGGGGCAGCAAGGCCAGCTACCTTAATCGTTGCAGTTACAGGAAAACGGTTCTAGAAGACTACCCATGAATTTTGAAAGATATTTAGATTGGCATTCACAGGTTTTGAAAAAATGGTACAGTCAGCAAGATAAAAGGCAATTTTTACAAAACTTTTTTTTATGCCATTCGATTTGGTCTCTGGTAAGGATCAATAGTCTCTATGGGACCAACTGAGGTAAGAGTACTCTAAATGTCAGAAATCGCAAAAACTTTTTACCATACATTTTGTAGGGACCTATTTAGTAATCAGTTATTCTGGAAACTACATTGACTTACAAATAAATGGACGACGGGTCTAATACAAAAACCACGAAAAAAATGTCCCAAGTCAACCTATTTAAACGTAGTGACATGTAAAGGAATATGAAAAAGCTAAAACGTCGAATTTAAATTGTAATGTCATCGCAGTACTGTCTAATTTTGCTTGCTTCGCTGTCAGCCGAACAAACGAAGACTAAAGCGTGAATGACGCTCTGCATACGATTTTAACGCCCTATAAGTTCGGACACTTTTTAGCGCGGACCCGACGTCCATATAATTGTAAGTCAATGGGAAACTAACAATAAGGAAACTAACAAATTGACAACGTATTATGTATTTCAAAATAAAAACAGTAACGAAAAGCAAAATAACATAAAAAGTCTATGATAGTAAGTGCCCGAATTGATTGCCGCCTTGGCGCATGCATAGATTCGCTTTCTTCCGCAAAGAGCAAGTAGCGACTGAAATTCTACTCAGATGGATTCTATTGGAAATTGCTGCAAGTGCGTTTTTCAATTATTGAGCACTGTAGTATTTTTTAACAAATTTAATTTTTTACATAGCCCCAAAGAAAAACCCTCAAGGGGCGTCAGATCAGGACTGCGCGGTGGCCATTTGATAGGACCATGTGTTCCAATTAATTTGTTTCCACACTTGAGAACATTTTGATTAAAAATCGTCTTAAAAGTGACAATTCTCTATTAACAAAACAAAACAAAGCTGTTCCAAATTAAAAAATAGTGATTGAGTGAGTGATGATTATAATTTGGTTTTACTTAAGTCTTATTTGTAGAGTAGTCGCCAGTTTCGTTTCTAATAAAAAAAAATTCATTTAAAATGTGTGGTAAAAGATTTTCTGCCATTTCTGCCATTTCAAGTACTCTTACCACAGTTGGTCCCGTAGAGACTATTGATCCTTACTAGGGACCAGATCGAATGGCATAAAAAAAGTTTTGTAAAAATTGCCTTTTATCTTGCTGACTGTACCATTTTTTCATAATCTGTGAATGCCAATCAAAATATATTCAAAATTCATAGATAGTCTTCTAGGACCGTTTTCCTGTAACTACAACGATTAAGTAGCTGGCCTTGATGCGCCGTCTCAAATTTACACCCTGTATATTGAATTAAAATGAAAAAGTTTCAAATATGCCTCCTTTTTAAATTTTTAGTAGATATTGTTCTAAATGCAGTGTATCTTGTATGAACAAACAAAAATTGACAATTCAGATTATTATTCGTCGAATAATAGGCCGATGATGATTCAAATAAAACAAATTAGGCTATTTGTTGCAAAAGCGTAACCAACATTCAGTCGATAGTCGATAGAATATTTGTCGACTGCAATCATAATAGTCTTACACTGCCCTCGGAACGAAAAAAGGCACAACTGCTGTGTAAAGTACGCATAGTTGTGACTCTTTTCGTTACGAGGGCAGTATAGTACTCTTTTTCTCAAGTCAAATTTGTGATTTGCTACAATGTTGTACCCACTTTTCCTATATAGAATATACTAGCTTTCTTGGAAATATCTTGAAGAATCTTTCACATTTAAGATACAAAATGGAATTATTACTTGATGTCATATACCATTATTTTTCTTGGATAGAGATGTACTGTTTGGATTTGGTACTGAGGAAAACGAAGAAAACAAAAATTATTATTGCTGTTTAAATTAATTTGATAGGTAAATATGTAAATATTTACAATTTAGATTCGCAATAAAAAGTTTATTTAAAATGAAATCAATAATTCGCTTTGCAACATTTCTGCAGATGAACATTTTTTGCACACGCTATAGAACTATAATATACAGAACAAATAAAGTAGCTGTTAAGCAGTAGCTAGTTATGGAATGTACAAAAAAAATTTACATAATTGAATAAAATTATTTTCAAATAAAATCTCATGACACTGTCAATACAATTAAAAAAAGTTGGCGGATATTGACAATTTCTATTTACTAACTACTACCGCAGCAGTGCCATATAAATATAATATAAATATAAATAAATCCAAAATTGACTAAATGTCACTTAACAGGGCTTGTCACAAATTACAGTGAACGTGCGCTGGACACATTGATACAATACACGACTTATATGAGCTGCGCAATTTGGTTCGACCAGGCATTTTCGCGCTTTTCACCTCAAGTATTTATAATTCCCAGAATGTAAAAATAAAAAGGATAAACAAAACTTACATTATTTTGTTCGGACAGTCCCAGAAGATCGGCAGTGACGTTACCGTTGTTGGGGGTAGTGTTCGTATTCGTCTCTACTGTCGCTGGGGTGGTGGTATTCGTTTGAAGTGCCACCTCTTGAATTTTGGTTTCTTGCGTCTGTAAATACAATAGACAAATGCTAAGAATATCAATAGCAGAAGCACAATGTCTCTGGGGCCGACGTAGGAGCGACTAGAGTCACCTCGCGTTGTTGTTCCCTTTAACATATTGCGCGATAAATGGACCTAACGAGCCTTTTATAGCCTCGGTGCATAAATCTTTATTGAGTGCTCGTTGCATCGGTTTCATACTCAATTGATACAATCTGCTTTGCAATTTGATTGTATGAATGCGGTGATTTCCTGCATGCAGTTAAGGAACACTTGCTGCGTCGCCATTTAGTATTCTGTTAGATATGATTTCATAACTTTGATCTTTTAGGAATTTAAAACCAGTGGGTTTTGAATTAAAAACCCGGAATTTAATTAGTACTAGATTTAATTGGGCGTCTATGCACTATTACACATAATTGAGAGCACGCAAGAATTTAATTAGTACTAGATTTAATTGGGCGTCTATGCACTATTACCAATAATTGAGAGCACGCAAAATAAATGAATAAGTTACAACAACATAGAATAATTTATATGGCAATGAAAATTTTATGGCAGAAATTACACACGGTAACATGGGTAAAGGATGATCAATAAAGACGACTCGTTCAATTCAATGGTGTGTATATGTATACTGTTACAAAATTGTCATTCGCTGTGGAGAAATATTGCTGTTCTGGGTTGTTTCAAGTATAAGACAGTTCAATCACACGTGAAGTAGTAAGTTAAAATTTAATGAACCACAATCTCCAACGCGTTTTCGATAATGAAAATATAGGATTATCGAAATAGGTCGCACTGTTGGGCACGGAAAACTGCTGGTATAATTATAATAGTGCACTACCTTGGTTACCTTGGTTCGATTTTATTGCGGTTTTCAGGATCTTTGCGATGTATACCTTCGGTAATATGTTCATTAAAAATAATTTTGTATAATTTGTTCAGAAAAGACAGCTCATAACATGTATTTCAAAAGTTTAATTTAATTAAGCAACGTCTAATTTAATACTGACATCGCAGCTCGTTCATATGACAATTTAGGACTTAATAGTTTGAGAACATTAGCAGACAATAAAAAAGTAGCGAGCAAGTGCACTCTGTTTAAGCTAATTATTTTACTTTATTTAACTTAACTAGGGTAATTTAACTGTTGTTTTAGTATTTAATTAATAAAATCATGAGTATACACGCAATTATCATATTATGTATATATATAAGTAATACATTAGTATGCTCTTACTAAGTCAATGTGCACGTGAAACAAGAGAATGAGCAATTCAAGGAAATGATGGATAATCCTACCACTTCACGCACACATTTGCGCGTGTGCTGATGACGCTTCACGTAGTAGTCGTAAGTAAATAAATATCTACCAGTGTATGGGTTCTCCTGGGTGTAACATTAGTTCATTCGTATATTGAACGGAGTCTGAGAGGTGAACTTATGTCCTAATAGGGACAGTAAATTACGTAACAAAGACCAGGAATAGGCAGATGTATAAAACAAAAATGGCGAAATAATTGTTGAAAAAATTTTTTAGCGTCTTCAAATATCATAATTGCGAATTTTAAGTTTAATATCAAGTTAGTTCACGTTCACGATATGTGCAATAAGAGTAATGTCGTCTTCATGCCTTTTGACCATACCTTAGAAAAAATGTTTTCCTCTAACTTTCGTCCAACCAACACAAACCCAAGGCACCAGTCGGCTTCTATTAATTCTGATTAAGGTTTCTGTACTTTATTTGATAATATCGAATAGGTATATTGTATTCAATTATACAGGAATAGGAATTGAGACTATATATTTTTACATACTTTTCATACACAGACGCAACATAACAAATTAGGTTTACAAAAATTTGTATGTTCGTCATTGTTCTTACACTGGCGCTTACATTTTATTCTCACTTCTCACCTGACTGGTGGTAAATCCTAGTAAATCTCCGGTGACTACGGCGTTGCCGTTGTCAGGCTGTTCCGGCTGCGCGGCGGCGTCAGACGACTGCATCGGCGCACCTACGGACGGAGATGCCGCGGCTGGAGTGCCTTGGCTCACCTGAGCTTTGTTCTCTTGCGCCTTTTTGTCTTCTTCCGCCTGTTCAATAAGGTAATCTACATTGACTTACAATTATATGGACGTCGGGTCCGCGCTAAAAAGTGCCCGCACTTGTAAGGCGCTAAAAACGTATACAGAGCGCGACAGTCTTCACTTGTTCTACTGACAACGCGATACTGCGATGACATTACAATTTAAATTTCGAATAGGTTGACTTGGGACATTTTTTTCGTGGTTTTTGTATTAGACCCGTCGTCCTTTTTTTTTTGTAAGTCAATGGTAATCTAAATTTAAACTTGCCTACACTACAAAGAACTATTACTACGTAAGTCTTAGTTACCTCGACACATTTTGTACACTTGTTCTTGTCAGCGGCGTTTGTCGCAAGAAACTACTTTAATGAGTATATTGTAGTCTTAAGAGTGAATACCTCGTCATATTTCAGGACGAAGATAAAATGTGGTGTAAATTACAATTGTACAATTAAAATATGCGATATGACACAAATTAATTTATATTTAGAGATTATAATATTAGGTCCTTACTTATGAAATTGCCGTTTTTTAAAGAGAAAACTGAATTTTTTTTTAATGAAACATGTTTAAATAATCCAGGTATTGACACACACACCATATAAATACTAGTAATAGACTGGTTAGTGGGCGGGGCCCGCGTTACCTAGCTTATGAGCAGACGCCATGAGTGTCCACAGCGCGTCACATGCCGTTCAAATGTACAAGACGATTGTTTCGTGGAAAAAAAAATAGAAATATGCCATTGTATCATGTCGCGTAAGAAGGCAAAGTTTAAAAAATACTCCGGTAGCGATTTCATTTCTTGGGTAAGTACCGAAACTCTTGTATTTCCTAATATTTTGAACAATACAATATTAATGTTTCGAAACAAGAATATATTGTGGCAATTCGGTAATAACAATATACATTGGTTGCTAGCCATGGCCGCCGTCAGAACAATTCGAATGACGCTCAATGATTTGCTTGCACTAGCAACATACTCCACTTGGTGTCCGCGTGTTATAATCAAATTATCGATAAATAGAAACTCTGTATTTAAAAACCCAATTTCGGTTTAGTTTAACATTTAATTTATTAAAACGGTACCTATCAATGTGTAAACATAAACTATTTACAGGTGTTTAAAACTAACAATTTTGATTACTTAAATGTTTTGCTCCCAACGCTCACAATAGTTTTATTTTTTTAATTTTCAATTCAAGTCAAATCGATATATTATTAGAAAAGTATAAATATAGATAGGAGAGGTACAGTATCGATAATTTTACCATGTACTTAAACTCGTAGAGTATCAAATGAACACTTTTTGAGAATGGACATTGTTTTTCCCTCGTCTACATGATTCATATGTCCCTACTTGCTTATTATGCGTCACTATCTCCGCTTCAGTTCTTAGTTTTAGCCCTGTGATGCCTGGCAAGATTCACATTTGCAGTTTTTGTATAGATTTTCTTAGTTTCCCGCCGGATCCTTTTAAAGGGGAAATAGGTTGAAGCAACAGGCAGAAAAAGCTGGGACCTACTAAATGTTTTTTTTTTTGCACCATTTGCATTTTATGACTTCACATTATATACCTATGAATAACAACAGAAAAACTCTAAAAGCAGGGGCAATTCCCACGCAAGAAATAAATAATTTGGTTAATCAGGTAATATATGACATGAAACTTTATAGACCACATCTAAATATGAAAACATTTCTCAAGCATTGTCAGTGATTCTCGTCTTCCCTTCGAAAATAAGTATCTTCTTTTTTTGACAAGCTCGTCGACGCTGTAGGTGTTGTCATGTTCAGTCAGTTCAGAAAGAAGTAATTGTTGAACGAATATGTCATATTCTAGGGAGAATAAAGATTTTTAGAATGTGTTTATGTGACTAGTAATAATAATCTAATAACCTTATTGGATTCAAATAAGGTTCAATTTTTTCACCAAAGCTTTTTTATTATTGTCTAATTTCGTTTGTAAATTCACAACCAATCAAAATGATATTATCTTAGTACTAATGTAAGATTACGTTGTCAAATGTGTGATTGTGGCGACATCGGTTTTGATACTAATGTCGCTTGATGGCATTTCCAGTCTTTTCTTTCTTCCGTGTATTGGCCATTATTGTCGATGCACTTTTGCCATTTTATTTAAAGTTCATTGATGCCTCTGCTATAGAAATCTTGGGAACTTGAATCGATGAACTTTTTAAAGGAATTTTTCACTGCCTCGTCGGATTTGAATTGATCGACTTTGGATTTTTCCGTGTAAAAAAGTAATCCAAATTCCAAAAAAAATCTGTGGTACAAAGTCTGGAGAGGATGGTGGGTGACGAGAGAGTTTTCAGTCGTAACTCCTGTAGTTTTGAGAAGGTCCAACGTGCGGGGTGTGGGCGAGCGCTGTCGTGGAGGTGGAGTCGAGCAGAGCAGTTGACATGTCTCGGTTGGTTGACAGGCAGTTCCATAATCATTTGCAATTCTTCACTGTACACCTCTGTCAGTAATTCTTGTGCCAGATCTCAAGAAGCTGTAATGAACAATGCCAGTACAGCCACCACCATACACTCACAAGTAGCTTCTTTTAACTCAATTTGCGTTTGGGACATGGTTTCGCTGCCACCCACAAGGACGGACGTTTTCGATTGTCACACAAGATCTACCTTTCATCACAAGTGACTATCCGATCGAGAATCCCCTCATTTGTGCCTATTCCACGAGTTAAGGCAAGGTTCGACGCGATGTTGTTCAGTGAGTTCACACGGCGCCCACTTTCTTACGTCTTTTGTCATTCCAATATGACGCAAATGAACCAATATCATTTTATCACTTACGTTGAACGATACTGCTAATTACAACGTGGCACATGAGATGAATCTGCTTCTCCGTGGCTTTCAATTCATCGTTATCGACTTTCATATCCGGTCAGCCACAGGGCTCATTTGAGATCAAAATTTCCAGAACGGAAGCCACCAAATAAAATGCGCAGTTTGCGCTACCTGGTCCACACATCGTTGATACAACGAGTGTCTGTGATGCGTTGGTGCCACGACAGTACTTGTATTCGAAAAAAAAAAACACTCGACCTCGATTTTTTCATGATCACAGAAACAGTTAAATAAAAAATCAACAGCAGTAAAACAAATTATTAACTGATAATTTAAAATAAATATCATACATAGCTATATAATTTAAAACTCTAAGTAAGATATCGGACTTTAAACTTCCCAGTATTTACAATTTCATAGGTAAGGACCTAAACAGAATTAGATATAGATTTTGTCACATTGTGGTATGAGCACTGTGATACACATGTATTGCAAAAACATTTCTAAAATATGCATCAGAATGGGTTTGGTGTATATAATAAATATTTTCCATACATGTCTATTGTCTATATTATCAATCATAAATACGAAAACAAAGTTATAAATTTATAATAACAAAGTGCGTACATACGGGCATATTTCTTAAATTCCTTAGTGTAAATAATCTTATTTCCAATTTTTTTTTTCCAAAATATACAAAATATAAGTAAACGTTCGAACACAGAGGTCAGATCGGCTCAGGAACCCAAACATGGTAAATCCTACTGTGTGAAAAGTATATTTTATAGAAAATTAAGTAGAAAAATTATAATAATTACGTTTAGTGTATATAATTTTTCTACTTAATGCTGCAATAACGTTATATATGTACATAATGCTACAAGTTCCTTATCACTTAGATAAATAGAACGCATGAAACCAAAATTTCGAGCACTTTACTTACTTTAGGTCCCATGGCCACGGCTGATTGAGACGGTAAAGTCATCAACCAGTTATATTTAATATTAACGCAAACCACCCTATTTTTCACTATTGTTGCAAAAGTTATTAATTAATTACCTTATTTTCATTTTTTTTCGAAATAACATAATTTAAAGCTTGCTGCACACCAATATACGCTAGCGCTCTGTGGAAGAGCTACTCAGTGCTCTCAGAATGCTCTGTGCGTGCAATACAATAAAGCGTTCAGGACGCTGTTGGGACTGTCATGTTTCTGCAGTGCCTCAGCCATGTTCACTGACGCGCGCGTAGATAGTTTCACGGCTGTTGTACGTATAAAATCGGCGTCGCTACTGAAGAGAACACGTGACACCCTCAATAGCCTCCGGAAGAAAGTTGCTGACAGGAATAAGTGCCCAATTATGCGGCACTTAATAAATAACACAAAGTCCCTGGTAAAATATAAGTACTAATAAAGTTTTCAAGTCTGTACCTACTAACATTAGATTGGATCTCAGTTGTCTCAATAAATAAATTTTATTATTATTACTATTAAAAAACATTCAATTTACATTACATTACAATTTACGCTACATATATAATGTTTTACAAATTATTTTATTTTAAGAGTATAAATTATTTATTAATTAAATCTTATGATTAAATTATTAACGGTAATTAGAGTAAATTAAATCAGAGTAAAATTGTTGTAATGCATAAGGCTAGCTTTACTTTTATGTGGACCAACTATACTTTTTTCAGAATAATATTTAATTGTGCATTACTTTTATGTGGATCAATCTTGCTTCAATCAACTTTCTCTGGTTAAATATAAGCCTTGTATAATTGGAAACTATATGAAAATACAAATGAAACCCTGTATCAGTGATTGATGGTCGTCAACTTTTTTTACCTGGTCCAGAACTGTATTAAACTTGGGTATTGGTCTTAGTGCTGAAAATTGGTTTTTCGCCATTTTAAAATATGGCCACCATACAAGAGTTCGTTGTGCGGGGGTCTCAAGGAGTGCCTCATGAAAATTTGTGGTCGAAATTAATCTCTCGCTATTTTAAAATATGGCCGTTGTACAAACGTTCGTCGGCAACAGAAAAAAAATTTGCTCTGATCGCTTTGAAAATTGGCACATGGGTTTCTAGGAATGCTTGATATAATTTGTGACCAACATTACAGTATCCCCATTTTTCGATATGGTTTTTCTATATTTTTCAATAAGAGTTTTTTGAGAGCGAAGTTTATGTTCTAGTCACTGAAAATCAGCATGTCTTCAATAATTTCAATTATTATTAAACACTCATAGAGGCCTTGACATACCAAATTTCAGTTGCAGTTTAGTAAATGCGCATGTTTTTGATCTAATAATTAAATTAACTTCGGATTTCTCTATGGTTAATAATATGTAACTAACAAAGAGTTACTGACCTTCTTCAGCCGAGTGCGAGCCATGATCGCCTCAACGCGTTGTTTACGTGCGAGGCGTTCTTTCTCTTCCTTCTCAGCTTCTTCCTTACGCAGCTTCTCTGCCTCTTCGGCAGCCTTTCTTTTGTCTTCCTCTTCCTTGAGGCGGGCCTGGCGTTCAGATTCTTCGCGTGCTTTGCGATCCGCTTCTTCCCGCTCTAACTGCTGTTGTGCCTGTAAATAATATACCAATCATAATGTGCCTGAAAACCACACCAATTTCCCAGTTCTAAACTAGGAATTTCCTTGAAATATGAATATAATACCAATTTAGAAATTTTCGAATTGAAATTGGTCCTACCGGGAATTATCTCAATAATTGATCCTTCCGGGAATCATCTTGGGACTTCCTTATTCAGCGCCTACCGGAGCTACCGATGTCGTCTAATATTGTGTAAATGGCGATAACTTGTGCATATTTACTCGTTAATAAATATTTACATACATAATTTCATCAAGTACTTATTATATACATAGACTTATATATGTACTACAATATATTCGCATGTCGGAAAGTATTATATAATAAAATTCGCTTTGACGCGCATAAGTCCACTTATTATTTTTAAAATGATTGTTTTAAAGTCACCGTACTTCCATTGCGTGAGACTTGTTGGAAACTTTACAATGATTGACGAGCTCTGCCTTCAAATAGTGCACATTGCTGCTGATTGAATAATGATGTAATTTGCATCTTGAAACGCACTCTGCCGACAAAGAGTACATATTGTTGCCCATTTAATAATTGTGTATTTGCATCTTACTATTCTAGCTTTTATAAAAGTCGGGCCATGAAATGTTTTTGTTTCAGCTAGTCATCTAGGTACAGGACTAGTTTGATTTCTTTATTATGATACTGATTGGGGATATATTCAATGAAAATTACACTAAGCCCGAAACATGCAGTGGACCAGCTTACTTTTAATAAAAATTAAATGATAATCTGACTAAGAACTTAAATTGACATTTTTTTCTTAATTGATTTCAAACAAAAATTTAGTGACAATCATTGTTATATCCGCATAGCTTGCACCGTCATAATGGCTCTTTTACGTAACTGTGGTCATGGGCAAAGCATCCTGTTATAGACAGCAACGGTTACGATATAGATTATCAATAATAAACCGTCGTCAAGTTTGCTAGGTAATAGATAGTATCAATCAAGAATAAATCGAGCAAGTTACAGTCAAACTAAGCTTAACAGTCTTAAGAATAACCCCGTTAGTACTTCGGGACCTAGGGGCTGTTCTTATTACAAATCATGGTTATTTTTGAGTATACGTCAACAAAAACAAAACATTAAAATTTATACGCAAATTTCCAATGAAGCAGTGATGTTCTCTTTTCGAACTTAGATCGCCAGTTTGCAAGAACCTCTAAAACATCTAGATATATAGATAACACGTTGTTCTGGAAAACGGGCGAGTTATGGTTTCGCGAGCGAAGTCGAAGCGAAGAAACACAATGTGTAATACAATTTAACATCTGCCTTAGCAATGTATTAAGGAATGTTCACATTCGCAATTGCATAAACACGCTTTGTTAAAGCAAGCTGCCTAGGGAATTTACTTCTATTATTGCCAAGTATTCCAGTGATAGATTCATGTTATGAAAATAGAGTCAATATTTATTACGAAGGTGTGATTTACAACGTAATCGCTCATACATAAAGACTATTATGCATGAAATTCAACAATATAACAATATTTAAAAATAATAATACCTACATCACGAAGAACGAAGCGAGGTGCTATTTCAAATTGCAATCCGCTAGCAGGATAAGATTAAAAATTTAAGTCATAAACAGAGACGGAACTGATATACAAATATAATCTTTTTCAGTTGTGCTAATAATTGCTTTTTGTTATTATATGGGTCGACAAAAAATCTGACAAAAGAACATATTATAATTTACTTCAGTAGGGTTTGACTATAAAGGAGTTGGAAATCTGTTTAAAAACATCGAAAATAATGGTACAGAATATGTGATGAATAGCTGTTTATTCGGTACAGAATAATTAATAAACACTGTCCACTTGCACTAAATTTAAGTAGGTATGTCTTAAGTCAATTCTTGCAATGCAAAAGGCACTCTTAATATATTGTTGTAAGAGTGTCTTATCAATTTAAGTATTGGTTTAAGACGTACTAAGTTTAGTGCAAGTGAAGATATAAATGTAAGTCTATTTGTTTTAAGTTGCAGATTTGGTTGTTTAGTAGGGTAGGGTTGTTCATTTTAAGAAATACCTAAAGTAATATCTTCATCTAGCATTACAATCAATCAATCAATGAGTTTATAATTTATCAATTAATGATATTAGTGACCCAATGTTTTTATAAAAATAGCATCTGGTTCAATTGATTGTCCTGTATTATTATCACAAATATCACTTACGAGTTCCCTGTAAATCCTTGAGAAACAATTCACTTTTGGTTCTACCCCCGGCCCGTACCAATTATAAGCAAAATGAGTTCATGCGGCGTGCAAGCATTATATAAGTTAGTTTTAAGCTGTTGACCTTCATTTAAGATAAATAAATATCTGGTTTTTCATTTTTGTGCAGTTCGGGGATATATGTGTCGTAGAACTATGCTATTTATAACTACGTATGTATGCCACTACTGTTTCTTCATCACATACGAGATTACCTGACGCTATGCGGAATGTGTAAGTTTTGTCACGAATATGTTTTACGCTATCTTACAGAGTAATATACTTAAAGAGTAATATGATTCGAATTGTCAAAGTAATCTTAGGCTTTACTAACTACTACAACTACTCTAAACAATTTTAAAACATTGTAATTTTATAACATAGGTAAAGGTTTAACTTTAACCGAACCAACATGGTGGATAAGGAAGATTTTTCTTAAAATTGTTTGCTTATATCTATCTATTTATTATAACGTCGGGAGCGCTTGCAACAGGCATCAAAAGGTCTAATGATTTTTACTTTCTGAAAAGCAGTTTCCTGTTAAGTCATATTCATTAAGTCTGGTAGTGTATTCTGTTTGTCAGAATTCAATACAGAAACGTCTAGTTTCATGAAATAATTATGATAATAAAAAAAGATTTGTTCACCGGCAACCGTGCATACCTCGATAGCCTTTCTCAGTTTCTCCTCCTCCATGCGGCGCTGCAGTTGCGCGAGCTCACGCGCTTCCTCTTCCTCCCGCCGCTGCCTCTCCTCTTCTTGCCGCTGTCGTTCAGCCTCCTCCTCAGCCTCACGTTGCAGTCTATGTAACAACCAAAAAATAGTTACCACATATTTCTTATAGCACATATTTCGTATTAAAGTTTATGTTTTATTTTCGTACAATTAGACGGCAACTGAGCAACGGTGATCTTTAATCTTTTCTTCGGACTACCAATTACAGTAATGGAAAACATCTTGAGAAAACCAGAACACGCTATATATCAAAAATGTACTTCTGTGACGTCCAACACCTTACGTTCCAAATATTACCTAGACATGAATCTACTCATCAATGGATTATCGTAGTAATTATTCATAACATGACAGTGATTAACTAGTGTTTCTGTCAGTCCGTTGGCTGAGGTAACCATAATAGATAATTATAAAAAAATTACTAGTTACACGATAATACGCATATATGTATTCTTAACGCAATAACTACATAAACGTAGTAAATCTGTTAGATAATTTGTTTTATGGTATTAATTAAACAGATTTGCTTACAAAATGGCCTCATTTATTGGCGCCTGACAAAAGATCTAAAGTTTCCTTCTATCTAATGCTAATAAAGTTTGCAATCATAGCACACGCATACACTACTGAGACATTCAGTTATAATAGTATACACATCAAAAATGTCTGGGGATCAAGCACGTTTTTGCCACTTACTGAAAAACAGGTATTTTTAATTATTTTTTTTAACACCTGTGGTATTTTTGTGTCAATATCATAAAAAATAAGTTACTAAACAAATAATTTAATAAATTTATATAGCAATTTTCTTTTAACTTTAATAGGGTAATCAAATATTTAAAAAAAAACACCACGAATTTATTGTGATGTGTATATAATAGTTTTCATTCGGTGTCGTGTAAAGTAGAGACGACAATAGTAAACTGTTACAATCTAACGTCAAAACGAACTTCTATCTTACGTTAAAGTAGAAGCATACCTTTGCCTCTCAAGTTCTGCCTGCCGCTCAAGTTCCTCTCTGGCGCGACGGCGTCGCTCGGCAAGCGCAGCCTTTGCCTGTTCTTCCGTCGTAATGCGTCGCGCGGTCATCGATGCTGTATCAACAATTACAATATTATAGGACAATTATTTTTTTCCTTAATGTTCACTGCATAAACGCAATAAACTGATAACACTTGCTCAGACAGGATCTTTATCAATATGTATTCACTATCACCATAATTTTTATAAGTAAAGTCGTCAAGCAAAATTGAATGCTCTGGCTGTCATTATACAAGAATTTCGGTCGATGTCACCGCAGGTTACCACTGACCTGTCATATCCGAATCATCAGTCTTGTCCGAAGCTGATTCCTTCTTGTCGTTCTCTTTCTTGTCTGGCTTCGGTTCTGTCTTCGTTTCGGTGGACTTTTGATCCTCTTTGTCTTGCTTATCTTCTACGATTTGTTTGCTTTCATTGACCTGTAGCAAATATAGATACATGACAAATACAATTCCCTAAAGGATTAGCACAGAAACACCTTCTATTCCATTTATATAACATTAGCGCACGCAACGTTCATATTAGCGCATATATACCATATAATGGGGTAATAAATGTACATAGTGAAGTAAGCTAAATTGCTGTGCCCTCACAGGGTTTATGTTAGACCATATTATGTAAGAGTGTTACGATCTTACTGTACAATACAATGCAACGTAATAAAAAATAAATAAATATTTATTAAATTTTTAATGTTGATCATTGTGATGAATTTTTGTTATATATTTCATAATTTTAATAATCAATGACATAGCTTGTGTACGAGGTTAATAATAAAATAAGTTAAGTGACATTGTAGTGCCATAACAGGGTTCATGTGCTGGAATATTATGTAACACCTTTGTTAATCCACATGAAACAATGAATACCCCCGATACGTTATATCTGACATATTATAGTGCGTTGACAGCTTGGTGAAGATATCTCGTGATAAATAAGCGTTTAGATTAAATTGTCGAAGATATTTACCTTATCACCTACGTTTTGGTTGTGAGCTTTCATCTGCTCCTCCCCGTTTTGGATCTGCAATGCTTCTAGTTTTTGTGTCACCTCTTCAGCACTCACTTGATTCTTATCGCTGAAGTTTTGCTGCAAATATAAAAGTTTATATCTGGTGTATTAGCATATATGCAGCCTTACAATGCAATCTGGACAGATTGTTACGTTACAGGCGAATGCTCGCGATGAAGGAGCACCCTAATGAGGATGAATTTAAGTCAGTGTTTTTATTCGCACATGAACAATTGAAATTAAAAAATTTTAGTGCTAACAATAGAGTTCCCTGTTCGTCCAGTGAAGTAATGTCACCTTGCCTATTTCTGCCGCCAAGCAGTAGCGTGAGCATTACTGTGTTCAGCTTTGGAAGGATGAGGGGGCTAGTGAAATTTCAGGTACATGGGACTTGTCAACTTATGCCTCAGAGTGACGGGCACAGTGGCAAGTGCCCCTAAGATCTTTACGATTTAAAACTCTAAGTGACACTGCAACTGTTATGGATAGGCATGTAGCTTGCCACCGGGCGCACAACTGGTTCGTCACGTCACTAAGTATTATAAAAACAAAATACAATAAATACTTTCAAGCAGTGAAGGAAATGATTATTCTATCACCAGTGAATGTACTCACACAGCTATATATTTCATAATAATATGAGAATATTTGATTCAGTCTCTGAATCTGAATTGAAAAGATTAATAACCCAAAAAAGACAAATAATTTCCGTGAATGTCATATAAGTTTTACACGTATAGTTCACATGGAAATCAAAACAAACAACAATAAAGTACGTACGTTCTTTGCGTACGTAATTAAAATTTATTATATAATAAATCTATTAATTACTAGACATTAAAATTTGTACATGGGTGTATTCGGAAATTCGAAGATAGATCTGATATTAAGTAAATTAGTTGCTCGGTACTAATCGCACAATACTAATCGAACTCATCCCTCCACCATCTTTCGGTTTGTTTTTATTTTGGAGAAAACCTTTGCAAAATTATATAAATACCTCGTGAACTTCTTTGTCGATACTGGGCTCTTTGGAAGCGGCAGGTGAGGGCGAGGGCGAGAGTGCTCGGCCCGGCGACGGTGACAGCATACGGCCCGGTGACACTGAAATCGACTTACCGCGTGGCGTCTGTGAAATTAACTATTTGTATATAACTAGCTTTGTAACAAGACGTTTATTAAAACGTTCACTGTCCAAAATTATTGTGTGGCTTATTCCAGCGTGACCATGGTCGAATTTTGGAAATTTGACTAGACGAAAAAAAGTTGGTTCTAGTCCCAAAAAACTATTTTTAGTCGATCCGATTGCTGTCCACACTGGAATAAGCTTATTCCGGCGGCACCATTTCTCAATCTCGAGAACCACAACGCCTAACTTAGATCTGATTACACTAAAAAAAGTCGTGACGTAGTCGGTTCTAGTCGTAAATAACTAAATTCAGTCGTTACGCTGGTTTTGAAGTACATGCTATTTGAAGGTTTTAACAATGTTTAGTTTTTAGTACTAGGAAATTAGCAAAAAATATACATTATTCACATTATTAAAAATATATATTAGTGTACGTATTTCGTGTTGGGCTACGGGCTTACACAAGACGAACGAGGCGCGTGGAGAAAAGTCGCGTACGACAATTAATCAGAATAATTTAATAATTAATGAATTAATTGAATAATTAAATATTTAGATAAGTCACTACTGTAACATATTAGTTATAATTCCGTAATTATTGACAAAGAACCATTGTGCAAGCGTAGACAAAAAATGCAATACTTACTTCCGGGCTTATACTATGGAAACTAAAGGACATGTTATGGTAACATATATAAATCAGACGTTATTGTATATGATGCATTTCGACGTTGAAAACATGAACATGTTATTTATTGTCTTTGTTTAACTCTTGCGTGCCGTCTTAAGCCAAAAGAGATAGCATTACATTGGTCAGTGTCACACACGGGAATCGAAAATACGTAACGTCATCTTAAATGCCAACCGTGTCCATTTCGCAGTACATGAGGTACATGATACGGTTGTCAAAGGGAAGTACATCAAATGTCAAAACAAATGTTTTTCCAAGTGTTTTATCGAATTATTCGAATGCATTGTAATAAAATGGACAAAAAATATTGACGAGTGAGAACAATTAAGTATTAATAAACAGTCGTCGCTGCAGCATTACGGGATGTGGCATTTGAAAAAGCGAAGATCGACTGAATGTAACATTGTACAAGCACGTGTTATTTTTCTATCTACAAATCACACAAAAGCCCAAATATCTAATGTAATTAGACATATTTAAGTAGTTTATTCATAAATCTTGCCAAATTTTGCTTTGGTTTCTTCAGTGCCTGTTTGTTTGTATAACTTGATGATTGTTGTTAACGATTATTTTGAGATAGTGTTGTTCTTGGAAGCGTATTATTATTCTGTTATTAAAATAATTCACTACGACGTTTTTAGTATTTTATTATTATAATTTTTACTATTTCAAATTTCTCTACAAATTAAAAAAGAAAAAAGAATGGTTGGAAATCATACCGCCGTATAATAGTGCCGAATATAAACAATGAATCAAAGACCATCTTAATTTATTCGCTTCATTTTGAAGAGTCAAATTTTAACATAACTTTGAATGTAACTAGATTACATGATAATGCAATTCCATCATTAGATTTATTGGTAAATAATTTTATATTTAATTTAGATTCAACAAGACTCATTTACTTGGCATTCTCAGTTCCTGAAAACAAAATTATCCACTCGTTTCCGATTTGTTCCCACTGACAACTCTAACTACTAAAATTCTTATTTTAATAAATTAAGCACATTGACTTACAAATAAATGGACGTCGGGTCCGCGCTAAAAAGTGTCCGAACTTACAAGGCGTTAAAATAGTATACAGAGCGTCATTCACGCTTTAGTCTTCGTTTGTTCGACTGACAGCGCGCTTGTCAATGATGCCGTATTGTGTAGTAAAACCTTGTAAAAATTACTCAACTAAAGTGAAAGAAACAGGGTGGTATATCATATTTTCAGTAAGTACTACATTGTGTTATCATAGTTATCATTTAAAAGTGTTATTTTATGCACTAGTATATATAGTATTTAATTAATATTTAAATTAATCGTAAATACAAATTACAAGAGCAATCAAAATAATCAAATAGCTGTCTCTTTCCGACTCATTGCTTGCCTAAAAGACTGAACGAGACCCATCACGTCAATTTCAATTGTTTGAAACACAAGCGTTTGAAATATTTAGAACAAAAATTTCATAGAGTCGCTTTGATGATAATGTTATTATTAAAATATTTTTTAATACATGTTAGTAATACTTTCAAATATTGTTGTACTCTTTCTACGGCTCGGGGTTACGAATCAGAAGACCGAAAATACATTTGCCCGAAATAACGTTTGCATGAATTTCCATAATCCCGAAAGTATTTTTTTACGTTTATCGGGAGAAATATGTGTATGGCCTACATTTATTTCTCTCGTGGCTTTGGGTGTAATTTGTGGTTATCTATATGTGTGTCCATGGCACCCGCGACACAGGGTTTCCCTAATACGGGGCAATGTTGAGTGTGTGCGTTATTATAATTATTATTATTAATCAGTACCTAAGTGTTTATTTTGGAAAGCGTTTCTCTTGCGCAATCAATATCGCGCATTTTAATTTTGTAATTATCTCACAACGGAAAATACCCTACTACCGTCATCGCCGTACTTTTTCATGCACAAGAAACATTTGCAAGAACTATGACTATGCCTGTTGACGGAATCAACCGTCGTCAGTGATAAACCGTAATAATTATATTGAATCAATGTAAGCACTACGGCATATAGAAATGTGGTGACGTTTTTGAGCGCAGTATAATTTCAGTATTATGCACGAACGGGTTAAGAAAATCGTAAGAAAAGAAAGGAAACCAGAGCTGATGCAAGCTTGAAGCAAGCTTTTTAAAATTTAAAGAGCGTAAGGATATCACAGATCTCTCTACTGAACGAACTATTGAGATTTCATGTGTGGAATTGGACCAGTTTGTCGTCTTATGTGTATACAGGCCCCCATCTGCTAATTTTAACGAGTTTGAATTAGTTATGAAGGACAGTTTCAAGCGGATTTTTCCAACCAAAAAAACGTAGTAATATGTGGAGATTTCAATGTAAACCTGTTGGAAAACTGTTCTACTTCTGTAAGACTCATTAATTTATTTAAAAGTTTTAACTTGATTAACCTTTTATTAGAACCAACTCGCATCACTGCCTCCTCTTCTACTTGTATTGATAACATCTTTTGTAACACAGACGCAGTGTCTAAAACAATAATAAATTGCTTAAGATCACACCATAGTGGCCAATTGGCTTCTTTTAATTGTAAAATTGTTAATAAAACACAGGTATAACGTATGGCGTCCATTTATTGAGCAAGAAGGTAGATCAATTTCTCTGCAGACCGATTACCACAGAACGAATCATTAGATTTCAAAATAATATCGGCAATAGTTTAAATTGCCTACCCCATATACCGAAGGTTCCAAATACTTTATATACCACGATATTTGGTTTAATCAAAAATGAATTTGACAATATATTTAAATCGAAAACATTAACTTTCCATAGGGAGACTAAATTCAACGACTGGGCAACAGTAGGTATTCATAAGAGTAGGTCTCGTTTGTATGAGCTATATGCTATGAAAACTTATCATACTAATTCCAATTTCATAGAATATGTTAGAATTTATTCAAAAATATTTAAAAAAGTATGTGTAGCTGCTAAGGTTAAGTTTCACAGCGACAAAATTAGACAATCGATAAATAAATCTAAAACTACTTGGAGCATAATGAATAAAGAGTCAGGCAGGGTTAAACAACACGATAGAGATATAGTTTTAGAATTAGACAGTAAACTTATAATATCTAAAGATAAAGTAGCCCAAGCTTTTGAATCGTTCTTTTCGGAAATTGCTGTGAACACTACAGAATCATTAAATTCCTCCCCTTCACTTGCTATTGATCTCCTAAAGGAAAATGTTAACGTTTGTGGCAGTTTATTTAATTTCCGTCATGTTAATCCACAAGACATCATAAAAGCTTTTAAATCAATACATGTTAAAAAAACTGAAGATCTCTGGGGCATATCAACTAAAGTTATAGACTCAGTTATTGATCTAATTTCCCCACATTTAGCTGTAGCTTTCAATAGGTGCGTTGACGAAGGTGTTTTTCCCGATTTAATGAAATACAGCAAGGTTATTCCCTTATTCAAAAGCGGTAGGAAAGTTGATCCTAGCAACTATAGGCCCATTTCAATTTTACCAGCTTTAAGTAAAATATTCGAAAAGGTTATGCTAACTCAATTACTGGCCTATTTCGGTAGGAATCATATTTATCATAGTGAACAATACGGGTTTACTAGTGGTAAATCGACTAGCGATGCGGGGGTAGCGTTACTAAAACACATCTATGATGCTTGGGAAAGGTCCCAGAACGCTATTGGTGTTTTCTGTGACCTCTGAAAGGCATTTGATTGCGTTGATCATAATACTCTTATTAGGAAGCTGGAACATTACGGTGTAAATGGCAAGGCGTCGAAACTTGTCTCGTCATATCTCAACGGTAGAATTCAGAAAGTAGACATAAATGGTGTGACTTCTTTGGGTTCTCCGGTAAAAATGGGTGTTCCGCAGGGCTCAATACTTGGGCCTTTCTTATTTCTGATTTATATTAATGATCTGCCATTCTTTGTTAAGGACCATTGACCATATTAATGATACCCTCTCTAAGGTAGTTTATTGGTTTAATGCTAACAATTTATTGCTTAACGCCAAGAAGACAAAATCCCTGCTCCCTGGTCAGCAGATTAAGCTCCTCTGCATACGCAGTCCGCAGACTACGTGAGGTTACCGATGGTAGTACTGCTAGACTAGTTTACTTTAGTTACTTCATAGTATAATGTATAATGTCCTACGGGATTCTCATATGGGGTAAAGCGGCAGATATTCAAACCATATTTGTATTGCAAAAACGAGCGATTCGTTCTGTGTACCGTCTAGGCTCTCGGGTTTCTCTCAGAGAAAAGTTTAAGGAGACTGGTATCATGACTGTGGCATCACAGTACATTTACTCTAATATTTTATATGCCCGTAAAAATATACATAATTTCAATAAGAAAGAAGATATCCATAATATTAACCTTAGAGCTAAATCCAAACTCATGGTACCACGATTTCGTTTAACCAAGGTAAACAACTCTTTTATCGGAGCATATATTAAGTTTATCATTTCCTAAGTTTAAAAACTACATTAAAAATATTTTGATCGAAAAATCATATTACAAAATTGAAGACTACGTGTTAGATAAAGATGTATGGAAAGACGACATGGCTCCAGAATCCACACAAATTTGATTCAAAGTGTATTCCATAGCATTTAAGTTTATTTGAAAAGAGCAATCCCTAGAGTTTCTTGCTCGTTCTTCTCAGGGAGGTCAGCGTAGTGAACGAGCAGTAGCTTAAATGTGACGTTTTCAAGTGTAAATTTATTTTACCTATGGAATAAATAGTGTTTGACTTTGACTTGATAAAAGACCATAATATTAAAGCTTTGGTATGTGATTACAACAATTAGTGAACAAAAACACTGCAAATAATACAAATAGTAACAACCTTGATAGCCTAACGATTTGCACTGTGGGCACTGGATGAGAAGTTCCCGGGTTCGATACCGGTAGGATCAATTTAACAAATTAACTTTTCTAAATGGTTCTGGTCTTGGTATTCTATTGTAAAACAATCACCTGGTTTGAAACTAGGGAACTCTCTGTACATACTCCCCATGAGTATCAGAGCAACAGAATCCCAGAGCAGAACCAATTTACAAAAGTTCATTTCCCAAATTGGTTCTACTGGGAATCGAACTTTGGACGAAGAACGATGGAATTTATTCCGGGGCATAACTCAGAACACACAGGCCAAAACAACTTTAGAAAAGTTCACATTTAGTTTTATAGTTTATTGAGCTGATTTTTTATGGTTTTAAAAAAAATTCTCGAATAACTCCAGAAATCGGGTACGAGAATTCTCGGAACTCAAGAAAAAAAAGTCAGACACCCTAGCTCGTAATAAATGGCATTGTATAAAATTCAACACTTACGTATAAAATTTATTTATAAATAATAAAGGCTACTCCATTATAATTACCTGTGTTCAAGTAACCTTTTCACTAGAAGCTACATCGATGCATTTTGGTAAGTTTCCAGTAGAAGCTGAATATGGTGTTTTTTGCGCCTTTCAATTGTTGCAAGCAAAATTAGGCAGTACTGCAATGACATTACAATTTAAATTCAACGTTTTAGCTTTTTCATATTCCTTTACATGTCACTACGTTTAAATAGGTTGACTTGGGACATTTTTTTCGTGGTTTTTGTATTAGACCCGTCGTCCATTTATTTGTAAGTCAATGAGTCAGCATTACAAGGACCATGTTGGTATAACGTTGCCGGGTGAAGGCCAATACCAACGTATAGACAGCCTATTTGCCTTGCCTTGCCTTGCCATCGTTCGGTGTCACTCGCCTAGCTGACCGAGTGAAGGCGAGCGCTAACGTGTATAGAGCTCGTTTGACATGTCTTGTCACAACTCGCAGTCGCTCGGCCAATAGTAGTCAATTGACATTGTATAATCAGACATTTGCATGCTATTTAATATATGCGAAACATGTTTATACGAACACTGTCTCTTGTTACATCTCCTGTTATACCATGTTTCAAGAAAATAAACGTGTGATAATAATATTATTATTGATAATTTTACTACTTTCATTTATTTCCAAAATTAAATGGAAGTGTTAAAGATTCACTTAAATCAGTCACTGATATTAATTCTATACCAATGCATAAATACAAAAAAGCTTAAATTATTTGGAATCTGTTTAAAAATTTCTCTATGAAAATATGAATCTTGACGTTTTAAATGTACAAGGATTTATATTTCAAAATTTTCTCATTTTTATATATACTCTCAAATTACAAATATTACTTTTTTCTGTGTAAATTCACTTTTCGTAATATTTCAGTATTTGTAAACGCAAAACAATAAATTCAAAATTTCATGTGACATTTCCGGATATTCCCATATAACCTAAAATATTCCCAAATGGAATATTGACCTACTTTAATTAAATGTTTACATGCCGATAATGACTTATTGATAGATTATGGTACGACACTAATCCACCATTTGTACGTTCAATTTTTGTTAGGTATGCATGTTCATTCCGTAATTAGGGCAGCTCCTTTCTTTTATGTTTTTTCCACCCTCTAAGCTTCCGGGACTCTTTTATTTTTTAATTTTAGTGAAGCGACGTGCTTTTTAACTCCGATATTTATCAAGCCGACAGATTAATATTAATAACGGAGATTATTCAAGTTGATAAATTTTGGCACCTGTCTAATAAATTATAATAAATTTTTATTGTTTATTATGATGATTTTTCTCCATATGAACGGGAAGCATCACCTGAATCCTCATTAACATTAATTATTAATTCTTTAGTACACAAATTGTCAAACGCAACATCACGATCCCAGTCAGGCCATGTCTTTTTTTTTTGGACCCGCTTACATTCACGATTTAAGCTTCTTCATAAATAAAATCGATTACAATAAAAAATCTAATCGGAAATGCATTAGGACATCACTAACTGATTAGAATTCGAGCTGTCAAAAGTTAAATAAATGGTTGGACGGAGTATAGATATACGTTTTTCACTATGTGTACGATTTTTTTACGTAAATGTACCTGCCAATGAAAATAATTGGATATCCAATATCTTTTAAACAAAGGAGGGACTAATTCTAAAATTTTGCGACAAAAACCGACTAACGCGCGACTTTTTCTGGGTGCAATCAGATCTAAGCTAGGAGCTGTGGTTCTCGAGATTCAAAAATGGTGCCGCCAGAATAAGCTTATTTCGGCTTGGATAGTAAAACACCTTAATAACTTCAAAACGGCGTATTGACTAAATCTAGTTTTTTACGAATAGAACCCACTAAATCACGACTTTTTTTTATTACCAATATCCCTAATGTATTGGATTTTAATTTGAAGCTTATTTAAAGGCATCCAGATCTACCATGGTAATCATGTCCAGAAGGAAGATTCTCAGATTCTCACTTCTTTCGCGCCAAACGTTGCTTGAACTGTCTCAATGTTCATAGATCGCATTGATATTTGAAAAAAATATCTCAGCCTTTTTTGTACCTTTGTTTCATAAGTGATATTCCATTACTTACACGTGAATTGGGGAGAGAGGGTACGTATTGGATTTGAGATCAATTTCTGCAATGCATATTTTAAGTTTTTACTCCTTAAAATGAACACATCCTTATTTATACACGAATCAAAGAAATCGTTTCATTCCTAATGCACGAGTACTCCAATGAACCTCACTACAATAGTTTTGGAGATAACCTCGACCATAGTCCATGTCCATTGTATAAACAAGGATATGTCGGTCTTCAGGGATAAAAAACTGCTTCGAAGGAATTAGTTACACAGCTACCTAATTATGTTGTATTGTGGTGAAGTACGGCGATATTCTAAATTGGAAAATTGAAATAAAGATCAGCAATACCTTTTCCTCTTTGGATGGCTTTGGCTTTCGATGAACCGGCGGCTTGCCGTCTGCTGGATTAGTGGGCGTAACATGAGCTGTAAATGCAACCAATTTGTAATTTTATTCCAACTTAAACGTGTATAAGATACTTGAAATAATACAAAGCTGGTTTAGTAAATATACTTCATATCTTTAGTGCATTTGCTTGCAAACTTTTTAGTTACTAATTCATTAATTAAAAAACATTTTTTTATGATGCAAATAGTGGAAAGCGACACGCCCGTCCATAACAGTTGCAGTGCCACTCAGAGCTTTAAATGGCAAAGATCTGAGAGGCACTGCCACTGCGGCCGTCACCCTGAGACATAAATTGGAAAGTCCCATAGGCATCGTCGGGGATAGTGCAAATCCGCGTTATGTAGTATTGGTATAAAAGCGCGTATGTGCACTAAATCAAATTTTACAGGTGTGGGACATTGACTTACAATTATATGGACGTCGGGTCCGCGGTAAAAAGTGTCCGCACTTGTAAGGCGCTAAAATCGTATACAGAGCGCCAAACTCCGCTTTAGTCTTCATTTGTTCTACTGACAGCGCGATACTGCGATGACATTACAATTTAAATTTCGAATAGGTTGACTTGGGACATTTTTTTCGTGGTTTTTGTATTAGACCCGTCGTCCATTTATTTGTAAGTCAATGGTGTGGGATCAAAGTTTATTACTTATTTATTTAAAATGGCTACCACTTTCATTTTTTGCACAGTAAGCATTAATTCATGCATCATACCAACTGATAACGATAGATTCCCTTTAAATCATGTTAATTTGGTTGCCAAGACATTTACGCGGGTTTGATTTGACCACAAAATTACCAAAATGGAAACTTATAATCCTATGCTAGTTACACGTAATTGCATTAGACCCGAAATATATATGTTGTACAATCTACCGCTTGGAGGTGTGGTGTAAGTAAAAACTTGACAGTACCGCGTAACTAAAGAGTGGAATCTTTTATCAGCATTTACAGTTTCTAGTTCTCTTTTACACTTTTGAAATGTTGACAATCTAACAGTTTAGATTATAAATATTTCAATAAATTGTAATGTCTTTTTCACTTTATAAATGAATTTAAAAAATCATATAATATTTGCGTTTCCGATCAAAACAAAGAAAAATAGTTGGTGGCCACATTGCATGTAATAATAACATTCTACAAATCCCTTAATAACTGTATCCACGGTCAATTAAGTTAATACGTCGTTGAATGGTGCTTTTACGAGTTATGTGTAGCATTGAGAATGATATAGGAATAGAAAATATTATGTATCTTTTTATTTAGTTAACGAGAACCATGTTCTAGTTTTCGTAATGAAAACGCTAAAGATCTACAGTACTTCAGTACATGTGACATGGATCCATTCATTCATCTTCTTCTCTTTAGTTTTTTATTATTTCCTCGCATTGCTTGAGAAAAGCACTCACTATACACGCCTTGGCCGGAATGCGGATTGCTTGACTCGTATTAATAAAAGTTGTAACTCACTCGTCCAGCAATCCCTTACTTCCCGGCCTCTGCAGTAATGTACGGACAACCGCACACTGCACATTTTTGTTCGAAAATCGCCTCCAGTGCAACGGAAGAAGATACGTCAATGTGTAACTTGATGTGACTATTAAATACGCACCGAGTTTAACGGGAGCGTGCATGGACACGGGGCGCGGGCGGCGTGGCGTGATTTGTGGGCGACGTGGAACGTCTCCACCGCCCGCCACGGTGCCGTCGCGGGACACCGACGGCGTCGTCGCGACGCTCTGCGACATCGTGTCACCGCCACCTGATAATAAAACAAATTACTACATTTCCGAATACTCGTGGATGGCCACGCGAATGGGACATAGAAGAGCTGTGAGCGGTAACGTGGTTAGATTGAAATATAACACGCCCCTGTTATATATCAGCTATTCATAGCAAGTATATGTAAGACTTTATATTAAATTGGGCTTATATTTGGACGCAAATGTAAGTGAAAAAAAAAATTAGATTATAGTCAGGAATTCACTGTACATACAAAACATTTTGGTGTAATTTTTAAGACATGTGTACAAATAAATTAATGTGTCTGGCGACATTAATACAATGACAAATATTTGCCTTAATTAATTCAACAATAACAACCTTAATTGTTTTTAAGCAACTTATTATTGTTATTACTAAATAATATATATTGTGCACATATATAGTATATATGTACACTAAAGAAAATTTTACATGGAGCTAAGCACACAGAACAGTGAGGCATTAACAAGCACAATGAGACCAATAGAAAACTTACTTAAATCTTCTCGTAACGAATCTGTGAGGGAGTGTCGAATGCTTCATGCATTACAAATGATAATACACACAAAATATGTCTGTATAAAATAACCGGTCCGGATATGTAGCCCATACTCGTCGATTGGATGCTTTCCACCTAAATTCAACTAAAGCGTCAAAGACAACAGTAAAATCTATTCAGTGTTGACACGATGTTCCAAATTCAGAGTTCGCTCTATTTTATGTATAGCGTACCTCGTGGTGTATTAACACCTGTGCCCGCTATGGAGGCGGGCCGCTGCTTCCTGGTACCGGCGGTGGCGCGGCGCATTACGCCGGTGGCGTTGGACATGGCGCTGCCGGGCCGGGATCCAGGGGTTGTATCACCGGACCGCGTCTCTGCACACGTCCATTTTTTGAACCATTTGAAACGATTTCCCCATCATAGATGGCGGCTCAATCGATTGTACTCACTTGTTTGTCTATCGTGATTTTGTTTATGCACCGAAGCAATTCAAAAGAAGTCTCAGTACACCAAATGAAGCCGCAGTTTTTTTGCAATAATTATTGTCTCTTTACATAAAACTTCGTACGTTCTCGTAACGATTAGATCAAAATTTTTGGATAAACAGTTATTATCATCCCGCGCATTAAATAAACAAATTAATGAAATTACGATATAACATTCTAAGGTTCTAAAGCTTGTGTAGAAATAAAACGGCGAAACACAGAATTAATAAAATTATAACAAAGCAGTCCCGAGGGATTACGGTTAATCTACTAGAATTATGTCACATATGAACTGATTAAGTACATATAATTATTTAAAACAATATTTTAGTTCATTTTAAATACGTGCAGTATGTTTTATACGTTAGAGTATATGTATACAGTGATAATGTTGTAATTTTGCCAATGTACAGGTGCATTATAAGTTCACGTTGCTGTACAATGACTTCGTGTTAGTACTTATTAATGTCACCACTTACCTTCTAATCAGGTGCAACCCGAAAACCGTAAATAGATTATTCTGCAAAACGTGTATGGAAAAAAACCTGTGCGCAATCTCTATGGACAATAAAAAACCGTGAGAAAGCTTAAAAAGTGCGACCTTATTCCAAACCATATTGACAAAAAAAAAACTAACAAACTTTATAAAGAACAATAAAAACACTTGGATACACCTTCTGACACCATAATCATAGAAGTAAATATTAAGAAGACGTATGAAAAATACAATTTTGTTAGAACGACGCCTAGTGCTTGCTTATATCGGTTAGATACACCTTGTTAATCACAATTAAAACGCTCTCCATGAATTAGCGGATTAAGCAGCATTTTACAAACACAGAAGAACAAAACCCAGAATTACAGTTTTAAAATGAAATGTAACACCACTAAGGGTAAGTAAGAGTAAGGGTTTTTTTTGTACGGAGACGTTAAACGACAAAGACATTAAGGCACAGGAACGTTTCGAATCAATTAATACAAAATTTCGTAAACAAATGTACCTACGTAAAAAAAAATATATACATATAGATATAGTCTTAGTTCCAAAGTAAACGTTTTTATAATAAATGTTATGGATGAAATGACGTGTATTGTATCAAATAGTAAAAGAATGAATCTAGTGATCCATTATAGTATCCATTATATATATATCTAGTGATAAATTATAATATTATATAGTGTAGCCATTAAGAAAAATTGCACAAAATATTTGAAAAACGTTCCCAATGTAATTTTGAAGACACCTGAAGGTATTGACGAAGCAAGATTAGTGACAAGCTCCGAAGCTTCCTGAGCGTAAACCGAACCAAGCCAATAGTCGAAAGCGATAGATGAGTAAGATCTGTCATCTTACGAGTCCTGTTGAGGTGATGCATCGAAGGCGAGGCCGAGTGTAGAGGTCGCTGCGAGGGGATCTTGTCGAGTCTCGTCATGGAGTAGGCCCTACCTGGGGCTCGAGGCGCCGGCAATGTCGGCACCAAGTCGGTGCGCCGCCGGGCAACAGACGACCATATTGCTGGCTGCGGTGGACGGTCGGATTCGTCTGCAAAAGACACTTGTATTTAGCTCAGTAATACATTAATTCCTTTGTGGAATTAACAAAGAGATACCCTCTCAAAGGTAGTTTATTAATGCTAAGAAAATTAAATTTGAATTACCAAATGTAAAATAGACTAGTCCAAACATACAAATAAATGGAGAAAAGTTAAATATTGTTAGTTGTATAGCTGTCTTCTTGGGAGTTACCTTGACCTTTAATGGTTTTCACATATATCTTCCCTGGCCATCAGATTAAGCCCCGCTGCATACGCAGTCCGTCAGAATACGTGAGTTTACCTATGTGAATACTGCTGGAATAATTTACTTTAGTTACTTCCATAGTATTATGTCGTACGGGATTCTCATGTGGTGTAAAGCGGCAGGTATATAAACTGTATTATTAAACGTTTAGGTTCTCGTGTTTCTCTCAGAGAAAAGTCCACGCAGTACGTTTAGTCAAATAATTTGTATGTCTTTTATGGGGAACTGTATATGTTTTTACAATAAAATTCCGGAGCATATATTAAAATTATCATTTCATAAGTTAAAAACTTACATTAAAAGCATTTTATTTGAAAATTCATATTACAAAATCAGAGGCTATGTCTTAGATAAAGATGTATGGAAAGACGACATGGGTCTAGATTCCCGAATTTGATTCCATGGTATTTAAGTTTAATTGAAAAGAGCAATTCCTAGAGTTTCTTGCTCGTTCTTCTCAGGGAAGTCATCACAGTGAACGAGCAGTGCCTTAAATAATGACATTTTGAAGTGTAATTTTACCTATGGAATAAATGATTCTTTGAGGTGCGACCGCTTTTCAAGTTTCAACTGGTGCATGAAAACAAACGAGCTAACGGCTAAATACTAAGTAATTTTATATTCGCGATCAAAATGTTTGGTTTCCCAAAAAAAAATTTTACTTTTTTTATATTATTATTAATCGAATATTTATGGAACGTACATTTTTCTTTTTTATTATTGTTTGCTCTTTTATTATCAATTAGCTTAGATTCACGGTGCATTAGTTCTTAAACTGTAATACCGTGTAAATATATTTACTATAAATAAATAAATAAAAAATTAATATAGGGAACCAAACATGTTCTTGTGAATTTTTATTTACGTTTTATTTCAAGGTACAATAACATCGTTGCCTAAAATACTTAGTCGAAATACCGGCTAATCGGATCCTTTTGTTATCAAAAGTAAACGCGTAAGTCTCTTCTAAATGGAGTATCAGGACTAGGATCACAATGTTGGGACTTTGGCTCAAGAATTGTTTGGGTTTTTTAGGTTCACGATTTGTTGGGTCTTTGAGACTCGTTGAGATTTTTGGCCCAAGATGTGTTGGATCTTCAAAGTTTTGCAAACTTATTCAGTCATAAAGAAATATTCACTTTTCAGAACTCAAGCGATTATTAACATTAACTTTAGAAGCGTGCCTATAATAAAAATTAAGTTTTGTGATTGTACTATGTTAAGAAAGGATACCAAAGATTCTTTCAATGAACAGAGAGTAATCTTCATGTTATTTGCAAATAAATTGTACAACGATATACAAGACGCTGTCTTACCATAGTATAGATGAAAGCAAGTCTCATGATGTTCATACAAACGCAAGTCTTAAGGCGATATCCTTAGTGCAACTTACTTTGTATTAGCATAATCTTTTATAATCCGGCGTAAGGTCGTACGATAGATTAACAGCGGACTCTCTCGCCCTCAATTCAATATACAACATTTTGCAAGTGCATACATAAAGAGCACGTATCTTTGCTGACAAAGGTTAGTCATAATTGCTCCTTGCAAAAAAGATATTCACAGAATTCCTATTGTCATTATCTCAACTATAACGTAATAGGCAAAGTAATATGTTTGCATTTGCATTTATTGTAAAGATAAATTTGGAACTTACAGAAACTCGAAAACATCACGCATCCTTCGTATGCAGCATGAAGGCAGAAAAGTGTGTTATAATATTGACATAATTATGTGATTATAATGATCAGTAAGTATGTTAAGAATACCTCTATTATTGTCGATTTCTGAATCCAATTGCAGTGCGGAAGCGGGTCTCGTAAGAGGCGCAGACGCGAACATCACATTTGTTGTTGATGCCGCCCTGGAACACGTCAAGTATATGCATAAATAACACAAAAATGTAAATTTACACAATTATTGCTACTTACTACATTGTTAAATATACAAGTAGGTACATTGTGACAAATACTTAAATTATATTAATATCTTGCAACAAAACATGCTGATCGGGATCCCAGAATGGTCAGGACCCTCGAACTCAAATAAATTGCATAATAAATAATGTTGAATTCCGCCATTGAGAAATCCCCTGTCTGAAGGCTATTGTTTTATGGAGACAATGGCGCCGTGCTAAAATAATAGTATAGGAAGGATGGTGACGTCACCAGGTCACTGGACCATGGCGGAAATAACCGCTATGGACGTGTGTTATGGATAGCTTACGGACGTGGCATGAAGGATATCGGATATGTAGGTATGTATTTGCGAATTAATATGATTAACATCTTAAGAAATGATAGAGGACCTTATCTATCAACAAATTTCACAAAGCATATAACGCTTACACGTCAAAATCATTCACACCACCTTTTAAGCAAAATGACCAATAATTAAGGACAACAAAATAAACTTCGACACCTGTTCCCAAACCTACACCAAAAACACACATCAAGTCACTCGATATCACGAATGCGTCAAATATTTTACGGAAGTATAAATTATGGATAATATTAAATCCGAAAAATTATGTAAATTTTTAATTTTTCCTATTTATCCTGTCACAATTCACATTAGATAGTATACCATAGAGTAATAACATATTATAATTACCTATAATTCATACTTTTCAAGACAAACAAAAAATACATTTATAATAACAAATAATATTATTAGAAATTATGACAACAACGCTAATCTCGTACTCGAGATAGTTTTATTACATGCATCGAGGAAATATTACGCATTATATACCAACTTCATTATTAAGTAGTTTAATAGTTGTTGCTTAAAATACAGAACATTGGCTTAGAATAACTATATACATGAAAGCTTGTTGATGTATTATTAACAATTACTTATAATTATATATAAATATATATATTATTAACAATAAAATTACTTATAATGGTGTAGAGGAGTCTATTGTACAAATTCGAACCTGATGTTGTACGTGTTATAAGTACACAACAGATTCAGGGTGCAGTGTAAAATTTGCATTCGTATGATTGACCTTAATAGAAAAATGTACCTTCTACCGAGGAGCTAACTAGTTTCACATATTTCTCTAAGACGTCTATGCTACGCTGTATCCGATGGTGTATAATAATGTTAACTAATCATTATGCAAACTGCTTACGTACAGTTGTATGTTAAAATATAAACTAATTAAATACAACTTTTGCATTGCATTCTACATACAATATGAAATTGGTTAAAAGGCGATGCGTTTTGGTTTCGCAAAATGCAAAATTATTAGTAAACGTTAATTTAAATGCACAAACTAAAAACAGATTAGTAGGAAATTAATGAAACTATACGTAACAAAATAAAATATAAAAAAACTGCTTACAGTGACTCGAAAAAGTTTATCTGATCTATGGGGTTGGTGCTGGAGAAGGGAACAAAACAAAACACAATTAGTAAAAATAATATAATTGAGTTTAAGGATTATCCCGTTATTCACAGGGCGAATGTCTGTAAAACCCACACCCAAATGAACACAAGTTTCAGAAAACAAAAACCTGATGGAAATAACCGAAACGAAGATGACAGCGCTGTAAAGAATTAGTTTCCTAACTAAATAACTCTGTGATTAATTTTTAACTTTGAAGGATTCTTCAGCACTACAAAATATTTCAAAAGTTACTGCATAAGAAGGTATCATCAGTATATCGAATTGGGGTGCTTACCTGCGCGCGGCCCAGAAGAAACCTGTAGAATCTACAGGCTCGAGGAGACGAGGTGTTGAAGAGCCGAAGGCGAAGGCGGTGCGTGGTGAGAAGCGTGCCGCGCGAGCTCGTTCCAGCCGCTCGGTTCGATCGCGCTCGCGCTGTAACAGCGCTTCGCGTCGCGATACTGAAGCCTCCCATATCGCTCTTTTGCGTTCTTCCACCTAAACACACATAACAGAGTCAAAAGAAGAGAAAAGAAATAAGTTCTTGCTCAAACCCAATCAAATATATTTTTGGAATATAATAATTGACGTTTTAAATAGCAAGTCGTGTCACGCACTGCAGAGATTCGAACTATTGGTATACAATTATACTGTTCGTAAATATATGAAATATCCAAAAATTACAAAAGTATCACCTGTTTAGACATTTTCACATCTTGTCCACGACACTCAACTACTAACAGTAACTACAAGCGTACACTGGCAATTGTGATATCATAACAACAATGATGATTAAAGCGGTGATTAATAATACTGTTATCTAGATCTCAGAAATATGACTCTGGAAAATTAGTAAAACGAGTAGCTTTGCACATTCTTCCTGTATTGGACAAGAGGACAGGCAATTCCATAACATTTAAGATGGAAATCAGAGTGTCTTCGATGTTAAATCTGATTTATCTAGTTCATATCAACGTTTTTGTGATAAGTGGAAAAAATTCTTCCATGGCACTGACAAATACTAAAGCCGATAATCGGAATGGTACGTTCTAACTGATAATAAAAATTGGTGTTGCATGATACCGGGCATGAGATACGAAAACAAGAATAAGACGAGAATAAAATACATTTTAGAAAGTAACACTTTTAATCGCATTCACACTATTCATACGACGTACGTTTTATCTGCTGGGTACAACAGATAAAACGCTTGAACACTTGATTGTATATATATGATATGCCCGTATCATTTTTTTAAAAGTAAAGGATGCATGATACTTTTTATTGTTATTCTTGCCCATGCGGTAGATCCTCGTAATAGGGAGTACTAAAAAGGGGAATCTGTACGAATAATCCCGATACAATGAATACAATCATAATGCTGACTGTATTCAATGAGAACACATGGAATATGTACTAGATATTTTTGCAGCACTGCCGCCGGGAGTCTCGACTCAACCTAATTAGCCAAGTGTGTCAATGTCATGAATTTCACTTTCATACATACATGACATACTTTACTAAACTTCAGAAGGATTTTTTTCAAACAAAAGGAATTCATTATTAGAATGCTATTTTAGAAGAGGTATCCTAAACAAATTTAGTTTCACAGCAATATCTTCAGCTGTAAAGAAAATGTACAATGCCGATACAATAATAGAAAAAAATTGACAACATATTTATATTATATGTGATCTAGAAATACACTATTTCCTAGAGATGTATAAAAATGTATACGAAACAAGTAACAAAAATAGCGTCATACACCAACTGCGACATAAAAAGAAAATAAAGCACGCGTAAAAACTTCGGTGAAGTATTCTTATCCAAGTAGAGTAATAACTTCGAAGACAATAGTGAAATAGCTAATATTCCAAACCCATACCAAATCGGGATAAATAAAACACTGCCATTCCGTCTTCACCTACTTTGTTAATAGAATATGACGTGCTTTAATTGCATGTATCTTTGAAATTTTATCTTATACCTATATTATATATATATTATATATACCTATATTATTATATTATTTTTGTTTTCACAACTGAACCGTATATTTTTTTCATATGGTATAATGGTTTGGATTCAGAAATTATTACAGGTTTCTTTTTACAATACAATTACAACTTTCATCTGTGCTGTATTATTGCATAATAAAATAATGATTTTGTATTCTTCACTCACCTTACAGCAACATTTTCTCGGATTCAATGCGCATAGACACCGTGCACTTTCCATTATTATAATTAATTAATTCAGAATCACACTATCCATTCCCAACTGTCACTCGTCATAGGCTACCACTGTCTTTAATTGGAAACCGGCCATAATGTGGAATGCGCGTAGTCCTGAAGGAAGTGACTGCCTGTTATTTTTGTCGCGACTCCTTGATGCGTGGCGAGAGTTAATTTTAAATATTTTTGATGCACAACGACTTGAGAGTATTTCTTAATGCTTCGACGAGTGTTTGAATGTTAAGAATGAATACCAACTACAGATGTGGCAGACGAAAAACAGTCAACACACGTGGAGCTTAGTTGTTTAGTTTGCTCTATATAATTTAATAATTTGATTATGAAATTTTTTAAATGTGGAGTTTTAGCGAAATCGGACAGAAATTGTAAAAAAATTACCAATAACACGACCAATAAATGAATTAAGTATCTGAGAGAGATTATCCGTACGAATCATTCCTGAGCGATAAACAAGGCTACGCGTACGCATTGATGTACTCGAACTTCATAGCGCATGACCTCATAATTGACAATAGAGACCGGGTTATATAACTAGTGACCTGGTAACCTGGTACTATAATGACCATTTTATCTACACAAATAAAATGTTATACTACAACATACAACTAAATGCGTAAATAATAAAAATGCAGCACGTGTGCACCAATCCTTTCAAGGCTATTATAGAATATTTTGCTGTGTCTCACTCGATAAAGAATATTACTAATGTAACCATGTCCTCAATGCATTAATTGAATGTCAATCCGCTTAATACAAAAAATAAAGTTGATATTATTATATACATAGGTATTGTTATTTGTCAAAAACCAACATTTACATTGTTTTTTATTTTCGATATTAAACAGAAAAATGATAATAATATATTGATTTATTAGTCACACACTCTTGTTTCAAAATCTTCAAAAATCTTTTTTACCTGTAACTTAAGCTACAATAGCTTAAGTTACAGGTAAAAAAGATTTTTTGGCATTACTTTTAATAGTCACATACTCAATCTACATTTTGTTACTGGTAAAGTAGGTTTTAAAGAGATCACTTTTGAGTCACATACAATTTGTACTTTGTTACTATTAAAAGGAAATATTAAGTAGTGTAACAAGTAAAGACTTTGTTAGTGTAGTAAACGCCATTCCGTCCTCCAAAGCTATTTCTTTGAGCTTCTAACACGATGTGGGCCTCAGTTGCCTTTTGATGTGGTAAAAGTTACCTATTCTCTGTTGTCCTCGTCCACGCTTGATTTCCACTTACATTTAGTCAAGTTTTAAATGATTTCACTATTTCGAATAGTAGGGCTCGTCACGCTTCCCATATACAACAAGTCTAATATCATATGAAAGAGTTAGTCAGACACCAGTGATAAAGAAGACATTAAAACCATATTTGTAAAATCTCGGTTCAAAACGATCCAGGTGCGGAGGTATGTGAGAACACTAGTGCAATAATGACATCATCTCACCGACAAGGACGAGTTATGCAACACTAACGTCACCTTAGAGAAATATACGGCAAATATATAGTATGAATAAATAAAATATCTGTAATGTTGACGAGAGAAGTTGTTATACACAGTGTGGAAAATACCTTACTACTGAATAGAGAAAACAGGTATGATAAAATTTCGTTGAATTATATTCGACATTATGTGAACGCACGCGACGCCCTCGAATACTTTTACAGGTAAACTAACAGAAGTACTAGTATAATAACTATTAACTGCGTCGGTGGCCGATCGGTTACCATGCTGCCACGCAGAGGTCTCGGGTTCGATTTCCGGACCGGGAGAAATATTTGTATGGCCTACATTATTTCTCTTGTGAGTTTGGATGTAATTTGTGGTTGTCTATGTGTGTTCATGGCACCCGCGACACAGGGTTTCCCTAGGCTATGAATGTGTGTGTTAAAAAAAATTGCAATGTACTGAACTGAAGTATGCTGACTGAAGTGTACGTTTATTTCAGTACATAGGAAATCGATAACGTAACAAAACGTAATTGGTGACATGGTTCTGAAATGTAGTCGCACAATAGGAGTGCATCAATTCATAACGTGTGCGTTAAAATACGATATTATTTATCTAATACTGCATATTGTCGGCAGCCGACACGTTCAATTAGACCTTCTAGATTACATTCATCAATTAGCATGTTTTATGGCCAAGTAGGTATCTGGTATTTATTATGCTCCACCAATGCCTTTTTATTGCCTTCATACAATCGAAGTGGATATTTTGCGCCACAGAGAGTATGCAACTCAGAGATGTCATTTCACACTCACTAAAATAGCAATTCTATAAACGCCAGTTTAAGTACTGATTCACGGACAGACACACAGAAGTGGAACTTTTACTTGTACAATGTAGTCCCAATAATCCATAAATAAACTAGCAAACATTCCATTCGAGATTGCATGAACCTTGACCTCGGTGTTAACAAATATTAACGCATTATATTAGGATTAATACGTAATTAATATCCACCTGTGGTTTGTAAGTTGTTATTTTTACTGTAGTATAATAATGTTTTCGCATTCAAGAAACGCTTTTCCAATACTCTGTTCACTTTCCACGCAAGTGTATTTTCTCGGGATATAGAAAGTAGCAAGTATGTACGCTAAACGGAACTAAGTCTATTGTTTGTTTATACCCAAGCTCGAATCCGACAAAATGCAATTGCATTTTGTAAATACCACGATTTGTTGAAAAGTCACTAGTTTAAGTGTGATTTATACTGATCTTAGGAGGTATATTGTTTTCAACGTATTTGCTATAGTAATTAAAACAGTTTTTTTTTGTAAATAAGCTAATTAAATTGTAGTCGAGACTGAGTAATGTGATAGTTAAGTTCGGATGCTCCGTAAAGAACCAATTTATTTTCAGCAAACAACTGTTGCTTGTCCTTCAAATCCAGTTTCATACATTAGAACGATTTCTAGACTTACAATACACGTTTTCTGGCATATATATTTTGTACGAGCAAGATCAGTTGTAAGAGTAAAATCATACTGACCTGTTGTCTTCTGTCATCGTCTCTGGCACGTTGTTCTGCTTGCCTTCTACGGCGTTCTTCGTCTCTCTTTTCCCTCTGCGCCTGCGCAGCCGCCGCGTGGGCACGCAGTTCGTCGAGCCTTTTCCTCTGTTCTGCTTCACGTCGTTCCCGCGCCAGTCTCGCCCTGTCAAGGTTTTCTGCAAATATCGAAAATGTGTATACCCCACACGCAACTAACAATTTAATGACGTATGAAACATCCGCATGGTTAAAAAATAATAATTGCTTAAATAACGAATATTTGCCTTCAAGGGTTAAATTATATTGTTTTAAGGGAGAAAAACAATTCAACTCTAAGAAATATCTGCATTTCTGAAATAGGCTTAATAGTTCTCACTATGTATGATAGTGACATTATGTGAACAATTTCACTTTATACTACAATCACGATTAAAAGCTATGCTTGTCAACTTTACGTGGGTATTATTACCAATATTAAAATAATAACGACTGGCCTTTCTCTCTGTACTACAATAAAATATTTTGATGTAGATTGAAGACTGTTGCAAGACTGTGAGAGACAATTTCGGTCGGTTGATTTCTAAACTGCAAATTTATTGCCGGTACATTCAGGCGGAAAATATTTATTGGAGTATAGCATGTGAGTGAAAGTATAAGTCATTTTCGAAAAAAGTCGATGATTCAAAATAATTGCCAATTTATATTGAACTCTTATTTCTAGATTGTGTAAAAGGGTTGTTAGTATGAACATACAGTTAAATAATTTCATATTTTAATATACAGAATTTTGAAAACGCATAGAAATCAATGTGAAAACTAATAAAAGAACGCACAAATAAAATCGACTCATCCGAAGAACAGAGTTCTATGTGATTATATCGCGAAAAGAGAATAAGTGCGTTACGAGAATAATTTCCTTATTCAAATTAAGGCCTAGTGTAAAGGTGTTTTGAAAATTTATATGTCTTATTTCATTTCGGTAATATAAAATCGAGCAACAGTCGATATGACATCTCCAGCGAAGAAGAACGAACGAAATGTACTATGTCCTGAGAACAAGTAGTCTTGCACATAGATCTTTGTTCTACGGATGAGTCGAAATACAATACAAACATTCATTAACGATCCACAATAATTTTACATCTGATCCTAAACAAGTCGCAAATATATTTTTTATCGGGACCTATGCTTCACCTTACCCCAAGTACTATATACTACCACTCGGTTCAACTGGGAGAAGTCAAAATAATTATAAAAAAACTCTATAATCTATATAAATAATAATAAAAGAATAAACGGAGTTTTGGAACAGATGAGAAAATTTGGAAAAGATTTGGCCCAGGGAAGTACCGCTACCTTACCTATTTCTGTATCAGCAGTAATATGAGTTCCGGTTTTGACGGGTTAGGATGTTGGTGAAATTACAGGCACGTGGGACTTGTCAACTAACGTCTCAGGATGTCGGTCCCAGTGGCAGTGCCCCTCAGATATTTGCGTTTTAAGGCTTAGAGTGGGTGTTATGGACAGGCGTGTTGCTTACCACCAGGCCCACGACGTATTCGTCCCGTCACTTGGTGTAATAAAAAAAATGTAACATCCTTGATGAATCTCAATACCGATTCCATAAAAAAAAAACCGGTCGACTACATTGGCGACTTAAAAGTATGTATAAATATACTGAACGATAAATAATATGCGATTCTGTGTCTTGTTCGATATGTCGAAAGCATACAAAATATTATTTGAAATACTGTACGGAATTGACGTAAGCGGTATCACACAAAAATGGTTCCAATTATATGTACGAAGCAGAGAACAATGCGTTGAAATGCAAAATTTTAATCATCTAACAGGCGAGAAAACTCGCGTTATATCTGACTTGTATATAGGAAACGAAACTATTTTTCCGAATTTAAATCGCCTATTTTTGTTTTCTTTTTTCAAACAAACCAACGTTTCGGGCTTGAAAAAACAAATATACGCGATTTAAATCCGGAAAAGTAGTTTCATGTGTAACAATCGCGAAAACCTAAGAACCCGATCTGATTTGCATGTCAAATGCAAAACTCGATCAACCAGGGAAGTGTAACTACTTATCTGCTGTTTTTAATCTAAATTAATGACCTTCCTAAAATACTTAAAGAAAGCTGTTTTGTTTGCAGATGATATATCGTTATTGACTTCTTGCACAAACAGCTTAAAACTACACTAAGACTTAAATACATTATTTGTTAATCTTAGAAATTGGTTCAGTTTCTGGTCAGTCGACCAGAAACTGAACTTAGAAATTAGTTTTCCAAAAACAAAAATTATGCAATTTAGGCCGTTTCAATGGAAACCTTTAAATATACATTTTTTATGCAATTCTTTAAAAGTAGAATAGGTACGTAGATACGTTTACTTGGGCAGAATTCATTATAGATTCTAATGTCAATTGGAAAGCAAGCGTCAAAAAGAGATTGTCAAAATTCGTGTCATGCTTTGAAAAAGTTTTTAAAAACCACAAATGCACTTGCCGGTTACTACACCTCTGCCCCTACCGCACCTCAAGTACAGTATTATACTCTGGGGAAACAGTACTGATAATCATGACATAATTAATCCTACAAAAGTATGTACTGATATTGGCCAATATCAAAAGTACGCAAAGTTGCTGACCACATCAATAAATCTTATTCACACTTAAATTAACTTTTATAATTTGGGATTTAAAAATAATTTAGCTGTCGCAAGACAGGATCAAAACTAAAATTACACAACCGCCCAAACATACATAGCGCAAATTCGATGGCAATAAAAAATTCTAAAAATGAGACGATCATTAAAAAATAAACAATACGTAATGTTTCTTTTATAAATTTCAGCTAAATAAATGTTTTTGCTCATTAGAAGAATATTTTGTAATTCATTCTTGTATATCATAAAATTAATAGTATAATATTAATGAGATTAAAAACTATGATTAGTCTGCCCCTAGAAACTGCTACGCCCTTCAGTTTCAAGTTTGATATACATAAAATTAATATTATTAAAATAAATATAAGTAAGTGTTCGTAAGTTAGAATACTTAACACACATTGTGTATTGATTCACCACCTAATACATCGACACCTACTTGTCAAGTTCAGATCACTTGATATACTATGTTTGCGCCCTTATTAGTGAAGTTTGGACCCAAATAATTCCCCAACACGTACCTACACCCTCACTAACAAACCACGCGGCGTTATTTAAATGAAAATCTTTAATCAATAACCGGCGAATCGTTTGAATGTATTCAATTCATTAACCATTAAAATCAATAGCGTATTCACTGTCCTGGCATAGTTAGTAAATAATGAAACGTCATTCTAAAGGAATGCCATGCAAACAGAATAGTACAAACATTAAAGTCAATGAGTACAAAACAAACTAAAGTAATGCATATTCGTTTTTGAATTAAGCAATCTCGGCAGGGAGTTTGCAACGGCTACAAATGTGTTATTTATTAACTGTAATTTTACAGCATTGATTTACACTTAAAAGCCGTAACGATTATAAATAGGTATTAGAAGTGAAATAGCTCAAGCTCGTTATGAGAAGACGGTGCGGCGGCGTCCTCTGAACGCCTGGTTCGGATAGTTGAAATATTCTAGAACACACCTTGTGTAAATTCGAGCCATGTGTAAATTCGAGCCATATCCGACGACTCACAATCTCACCAAAATAATTCTCCGTGAAAATGTAGGTGATCATTTCTTTACAAAATGTACCGCCGCTGTCTAAACCTGAGGTAGCTAAACGAAACGAGCATTATCTGAAACTGTTTCGTGAAAGCAGAATTGCATTAAAATTTGTAATAATGGATTAATCATAAGTGCGGTGCGGTTTTTGCTATTAGGTAACTTTAATAAAAATATTTTTACTTTAAAAATAATACTTTGGCGCATATTTTAAAATAGGTGGAAAAGATAAGTTAATAATTCATAAAAACGCCCAGAACTTGTGTAACGTAAAGGCGTCATATTTATCGTGATAATGCCAAGCCACTTTGTAAAGGCTTTGTAAAGGCGTGTATCTTTACAAAGCCGTCAAAAAGTATTGCAGTTAGGTTCGGATGTCTTACTTCATCCATCGCAACTATTCACCCGACAAAGCCACATCACATTTTCACTTGTTTTCACAAAATTCTTTGAATGTACTTGAACGACCGAACTTTGATAAATAAGAAACCATCAAACGAGAGAAACAATCAAACGACATTTAGGCAAGCATGTTATAAGACAAGATTTTTTTTATGAAAGAGGAATTCTAAATGAAGATGGCAAAAGATTCAATAAGAAAAAAAGATCAACATGGCTAATAAATAATTTATTAAACTAATACCCATTTTTAAAATATTTTTCATTTACGCAACAAAATATCCATGCGTATCAAAATAAGCACGGATATTTGGGACAGCTCAAAATAAATTTACTGAGTTGATTGTTATATACCTATCCCATCCAAGACATGGAAAACATGTTTCTTCTTTTTTAACAATTTATCCGTCTATGGAAATGTTCTTTAAAGTGTACACGTGCAACACGTTTTACATTACCATTTGATATCTGTCTGTACACTTGCCTTTTTACATTGTTATTCGACTGTATCATTGTTATTCGTTTGTAAAGCCAGAATATGATTGATGAGCGATCTGGAAAATATTACGAAAAGTTTTCGGTATTGAATTCGGTATCAACTAGAGGCATTTCTTTAGCAGAGAATTGTGTTGTAAATTACTTACACTAGATATGACCACAATCAATTTAACAGATAAAAGAGATGGAATGCGTCTAACGTTTATGCCGATATTAGGTCAGTCGCATTGCCCAATATTTTATCATTTGATAGATTGCCGAAAACAGCGATGCGTCTCGTGTAGTTTTATAGGAGCATCACTATTATCAAATTTTTGCTCATGGAGTGTGCTAATATTTTTATTGCAAGAATCAACTTGCATAAACAAGTGAAATATGAATTAGGTAAAGTCAGTTCAACACGCACTGATCGAAGACTCACGCACTGCTTGAAGACAAGTCTTCGATCAGTGCGTGTTGCCAGCGGTGACCTACGGCTCTGAGACGGTCACTTACTATGGGCCTCATAAAAAAGCTCAAAGTCACTCAACGAGCTACGGAGCAAGCTATGCTCGGCATTTCTCTACGTAATCTATTTACGTAGTTTATTTTATTTTATTATCTGTTCCGGGACGCATACGTCCGTCACTCTCACTCACTCGGCTTGGGCCCATTGAAAACCAGCGTCACAACCTAGCCTTGGTTGTGACTTTAGCTGAATGGGATCCTTTTGTACACGCCACAGCCGCACGAATGTCAGTATAGTATTATGCAACTTGTTGTTGAAATGTTTTTACGCTGTTCTTTGTGTTATTTCTGTTTTAGTTATACTAGTCTTTGTTTTTGTGTTTTTTTTTTTAATAATGTGGCGTTACAAAAAATGGTTTCTATTTCTATTTCTATAATCGAATCAGAAATGAGGAAATCCGTAGAAGTATGACACCGACATAGCGCGAAGGATTAGCAAGTTGAAGTGGCAGAGGGTAGGGCACATAGCTCGTAGAACTGACCTACGTTGGGGCAGAAAGGTTCTCGAATGGAGATCACGAACCGGAAGGCGTTCAGTGGGATTGCCCCCTACTAGATGGACGGATGACCTGAGACGGCCCCCTACTAGACGGACGGATGACCTGGTAAGGGCGGCGGGTAACCGTCTGGTCGGGGAACCTCTCGGGGAGTACGTTCAGCAGTGGACGGCTAACGGCTGAAAGTCAGTTTTTCCATAACTTGACTAACACCAGATATATTAATCCTTTTTAGCAAAATGATCCCACAGGGTCGAAGTAAATTTTTCTGTGTGTTCGATCTTTATATTAACAATCATAACAAAATAGTCCTCGCTATATACTATGAACGGCGCCACAAATATAGGACGTCGCAAATAGGTGCAATACTTGTCAAATACCTTATTTACCTTAAAATATTACATATATTTTTAAATAATATACAATATGAATACCAATTTCTGAATAATGTAGGCGTTAGTTGAATAAAGCAATCGACACCTGCGGTTCGCGCAACCTTAACCGCCGTGTGGGCGAATACTCACCCAAACATCAATATTCACGTCACCTTTCTTTAACAACGATAATGCTTCGTCTTAAATTCCAAACTTAGCCCACGCAACATTTTATTACAACGGCTTAAAATTCAGATTCGCTTGGCCATATTGACAGGCACCCATTAAAAATAATAGAACATTAAATTTCATGTTTTCGATATCTTCAAGTTGACGGAACAGAGCACAAGGTCGCATTTCCTAATACTGCCTACCACAGTGTTATATGATTATTTAGTCGAAGTCACTGTACCATACTGATTTAGATTTCATAATTTTGAGCATTAATAATTTCTGTTTGAATCAATATACATATTATTATTATGTCAACTGCCCTATGTGTTGGATTCTTTTAATAGCATTGTTTATTATCAATGAGACAAGTTTAATTGTGCAAGATAAGACTTGGATGAGCCCTGAAAGAGTTGTAGTTATACATCATTCTTTTTTAACATTTGAAATAAGGTAAACAAAGAAGCTGGGTTTGTAAACATTTTTATTCAGAAATTTATAACAAGAATTGCCTTTTTGCAATTTCATGATTGTCATTTTCTGCTTGCCTACGCAGTCAAACGGTTACCATCCTGGACTGTCACGCAGAGGTCCCGGGTTCTATTCCTGGGCTGGAAGTAATATTTGTGTGGCCTACGTTTATTTTTCTCGTGAGTTTGGGTGTAATTTTGTGGTTGTCTATGTGCGCGGGGCTATGAGTGTGTGCATTATTATTTTATTCTAGTTCTACATAAGCAACAAAAAAGGAATTGTGAGTAGGCTTGCAATCGTTATTTGTTGGGTCTTAATGGTTGACAGGGTTGCTTATAGTCAATAAACAATTGTTATAACCTGCCTCCACATGCGACATAGTTCACTTTGCCTGTTATACAGTACTACAGACCTGTACTTTTCATTACCTCGAGTATGGATGAATATTGATTGTTATTGATTAATAACAATTACACTTCTGAAGATAGTAACTTTGACATTACAAAGAGTTTAGACTTGTAAAGATATTCAAAATCAAATAATCAAACTCAAATTATTCGTTTTGATGCAAAATGCCAAATGGACAGAATGTCAGATAGGCAGAATGTCAGGTTAGCAAAATGCCAGATTAGCAAAATGCCCAATTAGCAAAATGCCAGATTCTCAAATTGCCAAAAGTCACAGCCAGAAACAGGCCTCCCTCCTCCTGATGCACGAACAAATGTCCAATAGTGGACATCATTCATCTCAAATAATGAAGTGAGGTTCTGATGTTTCATTCATTTATTAAAAACAAATATTACATACATCTTGTAAACTATTAACAAATTTGAAATGTGTTTCTGTGAAGAAACAGAAATATTTTGACAATTATTAAATCAGTTTACATTTCGGTGCTACATTATGCTCGATAAAAAACCAATTTGACATTTATTTTCTAATGCTAAATAAATGAAGAGAAATGCTTGAGGTCAGAGTTGTATTGAATTAGGCAAAGACATAATTAATTACTAAGAGCAGAAAAAGTCAGGTTGAGTAGGAGCAAGAATGTCAATGAACATTTTATATAGGACCAAGTTACGAATCTTGAATGAATAAACAAGAAAAGCAAAGTAGACAGATTCCTAGTAGAGCTAGTAATTGTATACAGTGGAGCGAGATTCATTAAAGAGAGCATTTTACCTTTAACCATACTAATTTATTATAAAACAAATATAATGATATGACTATAACTCTCAGACACTGTAAACACTGTAAATTAATTTAGACAGTTAAGTGTAGTTTGAAAATAAAAATCAAACTATCTAAATTAGATGGTTATAAAAAAAGCATCAAAAATTTGTTGGATGACTTGAAAATAAATAAGTAAACATTAAAACACAATGTAAATTACGCTTCAGTAACAGCATACCATGTCATGAATGTTTAAATAGTGTGTCGTCAAAAGTGTTACAGAGCTCATGTAGCCCTAAATCTGCAACCATTCACTTGATGTAATGTTCATGTCTAATTTTATTTTAAGAGTCAAGACACCCAGAATTGAGTGTAGTGATTCTCTTACCACCAGGTTGATTTTATCATCTCTGGCTGAGGTGTGAATCTTAAGACAGAACTCATCAGAGGACAATGTGAAAGTGGTGTATGAGATAAAGATGAATCTTGTCAACATCAAATGCACTCATACAATAGAATATTATGATGACCAGCATAAATAAGACTTAATGCAGAAACAATGGCTAGAACACTTCTGTGTGTGACATTTGCAAATTATAACATGAATTAGTCAACAACAACATTCAGAAAGATACATTCATGTGCTCATTAACAACATATCCAGTGACATTGATGATATAAAATGCATGCAAAAAAAAGCCATAATATGAACAAAATGGCCAAATTCGCTTAGAAACATTTGCTTATCAACTAGCTTATCTATATGGCAAATATAATATTTAATATCAGATTATATTTTATAAGCATCTGAGATAATGCACAGCTCCCTTGCTTTTACAAACACAATGACAAAGATCTATAATGTAGTGATAACACACAAAAATCATCACAAAAATGCATTACATTGTGTAGTGAATGTACTTATTATGGCTATGAAGATATAAAGTACGTCATTAAAAGGTAAATCATATGTAAAGCATACTATGACTCAAGCATGTCCACATCATTCAGCTAACACCTAAATGCATTTACGTCATAATCAAGGATAAAAGTCCTAACGAAAACATACTTAAACAAATATGTGCCAGATCCAAAGAATGTGCAAGTAATCGGGCAAAGCATAAATCTTTATGGTAGTGAATTGGTAACTAACCAAGACTACCTACATAACAGGTATTAAGATTTTCGGTCGCTTGTTAGCGTCTGGCACGCGTTATTCTAATTTTAGAACATACCACGACGTGAAAAAGACATCCAAATAAAGAGGAAAAACAAAACATTGCATTGCGTCGACGACAACCTATTGCGGACATTCTCGAAAGCGATGCACGAACCCACGACGTGGGGCCACGACACGGTTTAGGGTTAGACAATTTCAATCACAATTTACACTAAAACGAAACATTGTAACAATGATTGCACTTATACCTTTATATTCAGCGGTTTCTGTGATATCTTTCACGTCATCACCCATCTTGCTAGACGACAGTCATTCGCAGTATCACTTTTTATTCGAACATATTTCGAAAACTCGGACTTCGTTCACTATTTTCAGCCAGACAGCCAGCCAGCCAGCGATCTATACGACGACACTTCGTTCCGTTTACTGCCAACATATTGTGTTGGAGAGACGTACTGTGCTCGAGGTGGCTCGATAGAGAAAGGCTCCTCATAGATTTGAGAAGAATATATTATGCATTAAATACTACATTACAAATAAATTCTTTCAAAACAGTGTTTAGAAAAATAAAATAATTTAACGTAATTTAAGTAGATTTGTTTTTACTAAAGGCTGAATGGATTTTAGACTTTGCTATTCTTTTCTAATTTAAAAAAATTATACCATAGATCACAGTCACAGACTAAAGGAGATAATGACAAAGCACTTGAGTAGTGTTGTACGTTATTCAACCGAAACCACTGTCAATAAATTGAATAAGAAGTAAAGTAAGATGACAGTCACTCCTTATACCAATATTTCCTTTCTTTTTTTCACACAATAAGCCAACCAGCGACCCAAACCTTTTTTAAATAAAAAAAAAAATAAAAAAAATGGTAGCGATCTCTAATCAGTACATTGTGTTTTCTATATATAAATAAAGGTTCACAAGGAACAATGTGACCTATGTGATTATTTTGGAATAAACAGGGTTATACTTTTTTGAACCAAAATCTCTTAACACGCCATTTATATCGTCAAATAAATATTTTTTGATGAACTACTTCCAAAATGTACAACTTTTCATCGTTTCAATCAACATTGTTTTCATCAATTTGTATAGGAAGTAGAAAATATCAGTAGAGCTCCTTGTGAAAAGTTCTTCCAGGGAAGTACTGGCACCTTATCTATTTCTGCCGCTTAGCAGCAAATCGGAAGGCATGCTAGTGAAATTACAGGCACATAGTCCCATACTTGTCAACTTATGTCTCAGGGTGGCGAGCACAGTGGCAACGCCCCTGACATCTTTACGATTTAAAACTCTATGTGGCACTGCAACAGATACGGAATGACTCGGCGTGTTACTTACCACCAGTTACGACTTGTTCGTCCCGTCACTTGGTATTATAAAAAAAGTGTAAGTTTTACAATGTCGTAAAACAAAACCTGCTTATATCAATATAGGAGATGTCATGTAAAGACGTTTCAAGTTAACAAAAAATAATCCTGCCTAATTAAGTAATTTTTGAAGCTATAAAATTAAATAAGGCGCGGCTTTTATTAGACGGTACCTATTACAAGTAGCGTGGTGGTGAGGAGGCAGTAATTATGTAAAAACAAGCATTTCCAACTTGACTGGTCTGCTGTCTTCTTTATTTGGAAAAGCCGTTGTAAATTGTAGCGACTACATATCTAACGGGTCCGCCAAATTACTTTTTTTTTTGAAATGAAATTAAAAAAAAACTACTGAATATTTTCTCAAATTTCTTTTTTTATTTGAAAGTACAATCCTTCCGGTTAATAATGAAAAATAATTTCATTCAAATGGCTGCCTCGGCTGGCCATGCAGTAGCCTACACGATCGGTCCAATTTTTAAGCACATTATCGATTGTGTGCAGCTGTATTTCACCAGTGGCTTCACGAATATTGTCCTTTAAAGCGTCAATTGTCTCTGGCTTGTCGGCGTAACACTTATCTTTGACGGCACCCCACAAATAATAGTCCAACGGTGTCAAATCGCAGCTCCGAGGTGGCCAAACGACATCAGCTCTGCGGCTGATAATGCGATCTTCAAAAACAGGGCGCAAAACATTGAGTGTAGCTTCGGCTGTGTGGCACGTAGCGCCGTCCTGTTGAAACCAAATGTTGCCAATATCCTCCTCTTCAATTTTTGTGAACAAAAATTCGTTCAACATGGCCCGATAACGATCGCCATTGACTGTAACGGCCACTCCTTGCTCATTTTCGAAGAAAAATGGCCCAATTATGCCTCTGGACCAAAATCCGCACCAAACAGTGACTCGTTTTGGGTGCGTCGGCTTTTCAATGTATGCGTGCGGGTTTTCTGTGCCCCAAATGTGACAATTTTGCTTGTTTACATACCCGCCAAGATCAAAATGAGCTTCATCTGAAAAGATGATTTTTTTTTGCAAAATCGGCATCTTCTGTAAGTCGATCGCAGGCCCACGTAGCGAAGCGAAAACGCATTGGATGGTCAGTTGGCTTCAACTCCTGAACCAATTGGACTTTGTATGGCGTCATACCAAGGTCTTTATGCAAAATTCGTCTCAATGATGTCTCCGAAATGTTCAATTGTTGAGAACGACGGTGAATTGATGTTGATGGCGCTTCACGCACACTTTCTGCCACAGCAGCAATATTCTCGGGTGTACGCACTGTTTTGGGCTTTTCACGCATTGGTTTATCGATGAGGATGCCAGTTTCTTTCACTTTTTTCACAAGATAACGAACATACGGAGCTGACGGTGCTTCTCTTCTTCCAAAATCCGTACGCAATTTTCTCACACATTCTGCAATATTACCATGATTTTCAAAGTAATGTCGCAATATTTCCCAGCGTTGTTCAAGCGTATACACAACCATATTCGTTCAGCGGAAGTATAAAACTAATTATCTGTCAAATCAAACATGAGCTAAGTGTTACTATTCACGAAATAAGCACTAGTTGAAAAAAAAACGTTAGATGGCGGACCCTTTAGTTGTTGTGTTCAAAACGATCAAATAACAATCAGAAAATAAAAATACAGATTAAAAAAAAAATATTTTAAGCTCCAGAATCATTGACTTACAATTATATGGACGTCGGGTCCGCGCTAAAAAGTGTCCGCAATTGTAAGGCGCTAAAATCGTATACAGAGCGCCAAACTCCGCTTTAGTCTTCATTTGTTCGACTGACAGCGCGATACTGCGATGACATTACAATTTAAATTTCGAATAGGTTGACTTGGGACATTTTTTTCGTGGTTTTTGTATTAGACCCGTCGTCCATTTATTTGTAAGTCAATGCCCAGAATATTTTAATTGATAGCAGTGTTGCCAGATGGTTACACGTCTTACATTTTGTAACGTTGATCCTCTCGTGTAAAATACTTTTTAATGCAATTCTCGCAACTTTTGAGAACTTGACATAAATTGAAACTTTGAAATTTTTAAAATTCAGCTATATTTGTTAAAGTAAATCCCAAACAATTTCAGAACGCTGGGTGCGTTTAAAATAGAATCAACCAATAGTAGTGTTTAAAGCTTGATTTTCCTTGAGCGTACCTACTATTTTATTTTTAAGATTCTGGTGTACAGTAATATATGGCTTGCAGTTATGATCTTTTATAGGTAACGAAATGTAATTTTCGAATCAATGGACAATACTGATTGGTAGATGAATTGGTCGTATCAGAAAAATGACGTTCAAATATTAGGTATTTTAAATTTTAATAAATTAAACATTATGACAAATGTATTAAATTGTTAAAGAGTCACCATAAAATGAATTTGTTTATTTAATGATTTTGATGACATAGAACTGATGGCACAGGAACCTTACAAGTTCAGGTTTGGTCGGAACCAGATCAGCCAGTGTACAGGGTTGTCACAGACATCTGTCACTTGACTTCATCCGGTTTTTCGAGAGGCTAGTGCCTCGGGTGAGCCGCCCCGGGTGCGCGTACAGTACGGAGCTGTAGCCACACCCACTTCTCTTTGCTCATAGCAGAACTAGCCGTTGCCACCGATTAGACGTCGACTCTGAGTCCACTACCAAATCTCTTCATTGGTGGTGGAGCTGTAAGACACGGTCACTTCGAAAAACATCAGACTCGGCCACCTGCAATACGTTTTTTGAAACATTCGAGTTCTAAAATTATATATCGGTAGGAAAAACGTTTTTTTTCTATAATCAATACATTTCAATCATTCCAATTGCATGGGCTCTAGTGCGTTGAAAACAAATTATTTATTGATGAATTGCCATCTTGGGATGGGAGTCATAGACAATTACTCGTGGTCTGTGACAAGTACGTACCACTACTTGTCTACAGTTATCTGTGGTACGTACCGACGAGGGTCTCGTCAGGCCGGGACATAGAGTTTAACACTAATTTGTGGTTTATTTATTATACTCGTGATAATAATATAGGTACTCGATGGGCCGGGACAAACAAAACAGTTCTGGACTGCTGAGCCTAGGTGCCGAATTTCCGTAAGGTTTAAAGGTCATTAGTGACAACAAAATGACAATAATTAGGCTTATACAAACTCTGGCAGTATCTCGAACATCGAGGACATAGAGTACTTTTTTAAGTAATTTATGAATATGGAGAATGTTTGATAGTCCTAAAAACTTGTGGAGTTTTCAAACGCTCGAGGCAAGGAGGTTTTTATTCGCTCTTTTCATTGGGATTCAAAACAGTTCAATTAAGCTCACCCTCATACACCATTGCATCGAAGCCTACAGGAGCACTTGACCACTGCTAGAGGTGCACTGAAAAGCTCATGCTCTGATTCCTGCCTGTAGCATGTATAACATGCAACTCAGTAGATTTGACTATGGGCCAAAAATCTTAATGTGAGGTTTCTCACTAATACTTGTTAATTGTTTTTATAATAAGTTCTGCTTATGAGTTTAACCTCCATTTTATTTAGTTGAAATATAATTCGAAGTTGCTGAAATTTGAGTAATATTTATTCTGTAGTAAGATTTCATTAATCATGATTTTTTTAATGAAAATTTGACTGTAGAAGACTTAATAGAATAGTTTTTCAAAATTCCAGGTCAACAAATTGTATACCTATTAGGAAGGAAACATGCTGACCAGCCAGCACATTGCATCTGGGTTGCAGTAATATACCATGGTATCAAAATGAATGGGTATCATCCATTTATAGGCAGTTTATGAAGAAAAAACTAAGAAAACAGATTATGTGAGATAACATGTTTGTTATTATGTTAAAGTAGTACTCTTTGTAAGGTAACTTTTGTAATTGGATTTCAAATGTCTTGAGGGAACGTCAATTTGAGTGGTCTTAGAAGACTACGCTTCCAGACATAGGGTTATAGTTGCTTTACAGATAGGAGTTCCTCAGGGTTCCATACAGTGCGGACTGTATGGAACCCTGAGGAACTCCTACCTCTACTCTCTCTCTTTCTGCTGCATATCAATGATGTGTTAATTTGACGTACGTTCGGGTATGCTGATTGTTACACTTGGGTGCAGCAGATGCATTAGAAAAAGCACAAAATTTATTTTGGTGTAAACAATGTTTATTCAGATATAGAACAGCAGTTGGTTGACAAGAGTGACGTCTCAAAGAATGAGTTAAAGCATATAACTAAAACCTTTGTGTACCAATTAGATTATTGTATTGGATAATGTTTACTATTTGCTTCAACACTGATGACAGCACAGTTGTGAATAGTTATGTGACCAATGCAGGGTCAGTGGAGAATAAATCGGGTGTTGTTGAGAGTTCATGATTAGTAATTTGAATTTCACACTCAAGGCAGTCTCCGATTGGGACGATACTAATCTCGTCAAACTTAACACTACTAAAACACAGGCAGGTCTATTCTCCACTAAACAGAGTTCCTTTGCTCAAGAGAACTCATAGGCGACTCAAACTTAGTAGAGACAAAGTTGCAGAGCCTTGAAGTTGTCTGTTTATCAGTATTCTACAGGATATGACAAGGAGTCTGTGTGATGGAATTGTACGATTTAATTCTTCCTACCATTTTCTATCATCAGGGGACTAGAATATATTTTGAGACTATGAATAAGTATGATGGCCAAATTGTCTGAGTTTATTTATATTTTATTTGTTTTTTCAGGTACAGTTTAGGTACAACCACTGATTGTTTACTCAATAGAAAGCCAGCTGATGTCTAAGGTTGACCGACGCATTGGTGATCGGTATACTCGTCGAGTTGCGATTTCAACTTCTGAATGGCATTGCAACTGTTTCAGGTAGGCGTGTCGCTTACCACCAGGCGCACGACTTCTTTGTTAAGTCACATGATATCATAAAGAAAATTGCAAGGACCTGTTTATCCATGACATGCTCGCAGACTGCAGAGTTGTTTACGCGACGGTGTTTGACATTAGACATCATGACATACAAATACTTCGCTTCATTTGTCCAATGTAAGAGAGAATGCATTCACAGTCAAGCTTGTAAACTTCTGCATCCTGTAACAGAAATCTTCCTCAGGGGCTTGAAATAGGTCTTCATAGATGCACGCCTGAGGACTCTTTCAATCTTGTCTGTAACACCTCGCACGTAAGGTAAAATGGCAGTTCTTCGTTCGACTGTTGGTGGTTTCACATGGCACCAGTTTGGGATCCAGTATTTCTTTTGATGAAAAATCTCAAACAGACATAAGACTGCAGTACGAATTAATATGTTTTAATTTATTCTAATTTCCATTATTAATTAATAGTAAATTTAACTTAATAAAAATTCATATTGTTAAAATAAAGTAATTTGTAAAACATAAAAAATAAGGTATTTAATTAATAACTTTTGTAACTATAGTGGTAAAAGTGGTTTGCATTAATATTAGACATAACTGGTTGATAACTGTACCACCTCAGTCAACTGGGACCTGTGATGGGCCCGAAACGTTGGTTTGTTTGAAAAATCAAATATACGCGATCTGAATCTGGAAAAATAGTTTCCTATTCCCTAGGATTGTTTTGTTCTTCTTGAGTCCTATGACAATCTTTCGAATACATCGTGAGACCACCATAGATACATACACAATACTTGTGCATGTTGTGATTAGAGATAGCTTGACGTTTCTCCAAGAATCTGTTGGAAAGTGAAGATAGAGATAAGGTTGATAAAGGATGATTCACGTTACACCGTGTTGGAGCCGGACCTGGCGGGCGGTGTCCGTGCCGTGGCGTATCTACCGTGCGCCGATCGGGAAAGTAATTCATACTACACTAGGCTAGTTACAATTATGGCACGATCGTGTCCTCGTATGCACCGATTGTTATAAGCGTCAGTCCAATTCGATAAGATTTATTATTTTCTTTTTTGTTACTTTTCGCTTGAGTGTGTTTGTTAATAATGCAAATTTCTTACAAAAAGAAAGTGGAGTGTATATCCTGCCTGGAGCAGACAACAATCGGAAGGAAATTCGCCACGATCTGCAAAGAATTCATAAATGATGAGAACAAACCAAATTTTTTCGTTGTCTACTGCTCACGTTACTGTAGTCCGTCGCAGATTACATTCTGGGCACCCGGCGAACAAATAAATGAAATAAAAACAATATCCAGTCCGTCATCTTTGCCATGTAAAAGATTTAGACTGAACTTCCGAACACCTACTTCTATATTCCATTCTTTTGCTGTAAGCATTAGGATGAAGGAAGCCAAGCGCTTTGTGCGAATTATGGTGACTTGATTTGTATAAAATATCTGGAAATCAGTTTAATACCAGCTGATACGTTAACAAAAGTAGGCAGGCCAGGAAATCCTTGATCTGTGTGGAACATCTAGGATTAATTAAGTGGGATTGCTGCAGCACTAATGTCCTAAGAAGGTAAAAATTCTCAGTAATCTTTACGGTCATGGATTATGTTGTCTACGATTTAGGTTGTACAGTAAAGGGTTGTTTGAGACAATTTGTTGTCTTGTATTGAAATATGGTTGTGTCTTATAGGTTTAAATTCCTGTAAACTGTTTGTGGTACACACAATAAAGGGCATCTGTTAAAAGCATAAAAGCACGTAATAATGAACAAAAACAAAGGCCATGGACAACAAAATAATAAAAATTATAGGTAAACTAAACTCCTTCGGTACAATCGGTCTACTTTCCCGATCTGTTTATTTTACTATTTGTCTACTTTCCCCGATCAGTCCACCTCTTTTTCCCGATTCCTCTATTTCCCATTTCGTCTACTTTTCCGTTTGGTCTACTTTCCCGTTTGATCTAGTTTCCCATTTGGTCTACTTTCCCGACCGGTCTACTTTCCCGATAGGTCTATTTAATGACCATGGTTGAGTTTGTGATATTTTACTAGTCGCAAATAACTAGATTTAGTAGGGCCGCCGTTCAAAAGTTAACTTACTAATTAAGTTAACTTAAAATAAGGCCGCCTGTTGTACACTGGCTTACTCTGTGATACCTACTTACATGACTGTTCTGTGTAGTCATTGATTTTATTGTTGTTATTATAAAGAATATTTCATTCATTCAGCTATGAGTGTCGTAGGTATTCCAGAACTCTACTCAATGCTCA